CCCCCCCCCCCCCCCCCCTCTGGGGCTTAACATTGATAGGTGCATTAGTAGTAACACATTGTAACAAGAACACATATTTAGTAGTAATAGGCTAAACAAACTTAGCGTATACAATATACTCGAGCGTATAAATAGAAATGTAGAGTGGTCCAATAATTACGAAATATAATGACAGCGATCACGGTAAGCGTTTTATAGCTTTCGCTGTCCGCCATTTTGAACGTGGCAAAGAACCTTTACGAGTAAATTACACCAAGTACTTACAGATATTTATATATATTACATATATTTTTTGTGGATTTGCGGATTTTTTAAGGATTTTGAAGGATTTCTGTGGATTTTTGAAGGATTTCTGTGGTTTTTAAAGGATTTTTTAGATTTTGATGGATTCAACGGATTTTGAGGATTTCATGGATTTTTTCTGGATTTTTTCCGGATTTTTTGACGAAGTGTACGGGATTTTTGGAGTGAATTGCCCCTCGATTATTTAGGCCTTCCCGATTGCGCTGGTAAAATCCAAACAAAGTTCTGGCAAAAAGGGCTAAAAAGTGCTCAAAAAGTGCTCAAAATCTCAAAATAGTGCTCAAAAAGTGGTAAAATTGTGAATAGTTTATACCTCTATAAAGATTTTCGTAATTTTTTAAAATCAGCATTTTTAAAAAATCTGTTTCCACGTCTTTCTCCAAATATGGAACAAACTTCCGTATATGGAGTTGTTTACGACAAAAAAAAAAGAGAACGCGAAAAAGTCAGCGTTCTAATTTTTTAACCGAATGTCATATGCAGCTGTACGGTTTTTCTTTTAGAGTTTACCTAAATTATATATAGAATAATAGTACGTATAATACACGTCAATTTTTAAACCTTACACCGAATTGTATGTTTAGTTAAGGGGTGGGGGGTGAATAGGTTTTCGGATCGTTTACAGTATAATATTGTGAATGATTCCGAATATTCAAAACGGATTGAAAGAATGTGAATTCAAAGCAGTAATTATGTACTGTATAACGGTTTAAACGTAGGCCGTACAGCACACTGTCACTGCCACTGAGCAGAAGGATAAACCGAAAATTCACTTCTCTCCATCACAAGCTTTAATGTTCAGTCGATCCGCTACATTGAAAGATGAGTACTTGGCTATTTTTTGGCAGGGGTAACGAAATATATCGGCTGTTCTCTACAGTAAGTGTTTCTTTATGCGTTGGCAATCGGAATATAATATATAAACTACATAAGCTTGATAGATGTAAGATAACGAGTTTCACAATCCTACTTAAATACTATGGCTTAATGGCTTTTGGCAGTTTTGCATCATATGCATGTTTTCAGTAAAAGCCCCATTTTCCTACTTCCCCAACGTGTAAATTCGCGAAAAATCTTTATTAATAATAACAAAAATTTGTAATAGTAAACAGTGTATTTTATTATAAGGGATTTTCGTTTTTCTACTGCTCCGTTCTTCGTGTGCTCCGTGCTCCGTGTGCTCCGTGCTCCGTGCTCCGTGCTCCGTGCTCCGTGCTCCGTGTTTTACTAATAGCCTGAAGTCATTGACGTACGTCAACGAATGTTTTCACGATTTCATGTTTGTCAACAGAGCCCCCCCCGGTAAATTTAGTTCTACAGCACTGCTGCAAAGCCTTGCAAAGTCTCTATTGCACTATTCGTCGACTATTCGTACTATTCGTCGACTATTCGCGGACTATTCGTACTATTCGTCGACTATTCGCGGACTATTCGCACTATTCGTCGACTATTCGCGGACTATTCGTACTATTCGTCGACTATTCGCACTATTCGCTTCACTATTCTAGTTTTATCAATAGCCCTCAAAAGCTTGGGTTTTAATGGAGCACGCTATAGGTTACTCGAGTTTTAGTCCCCAAAGGTAAAATGTTTTGAATTACTGGTGTACCTCTAGACTGCTCCAAGTATACCTCTTAATGGTATAAATGATACACCCTAAAATCGGGCGAAAAATGGCGGGCTGACAGGAAAAGAGGGAGGCAGACTTGTTTCCCTTGCTGTACACCAAATTTAGACTGGAGGCTGGGCTTATTAATTTAACTATTGCATGATTTGCAAGTTTGAGTTCCCGATCATGTTACACGATGCGAGCCTGCGAGGCCCTCGAAAAAAAGTTAAAAAATATTTGAAAATGAGATTGATAAAGGTGGGATAAAACACTGAGCATGCAACTAAGGGACCGGCAATTAATAATGGGAGGGGGTGGTGGGTGATACTGAATATCAATTATTGAACATTTCAAATGCTTCTTAATGCTTCAGAGCATTACGAGTATTAACTTTCGTAGGGGTTGACCTTTTTTGCCATATGCAAATTAATAAACACAAAAGTGTGAATAATTTTTTGCACCAAATTCGTGACAAGATTCAAATTTCTGCACGGGAAATAAGTCTGCCTCTCGCCTCCCTCTTTCCCTATCAGCCCGCCATTTATTCGCCCATTTTTAGGGTGTATCACATTTTTACCATTACAGTCAAACCGGATGTTCTCGTGCGAGCAACATTGCAATATTGTCCCACAATATTGCAATTTTGATAGGCAGATTGTTCTGAACAATTTTTGTTGCATGCCCATATATGGGCATGCAACTTTCATATAGCTCTAAATTTCGTGTCGCGGTGTGCGTACGGGCGGTGGTAAATCACGTGACAGATTCGTAAAATACGACAAATACCGAGTCAGTCCGACGAGCATTTTCATGTGATGAGTGAAACTTTAATATGCACGCTTTTGTTCACGGCTTTCGTCGAGGAAACGCAAAGAAAATATTCTTTACGGAATTTAAGGCCTTTATTAAAAAAATAGATCGAGGTAGGTAAAGCTTTGTTTTTAATTTAGCTTATATTCTGTTATTTGTTATTATTTTGGTGCCGTTGTGCTGGCACTGATTTATTTATCAATTATCGGCATTATCAGGCGTTTATGTTTGTGAAAGGCCACGCTGTCAAAATTTTAATTTTTTATATGCCCAAATTGAAACGAAGCCATTGTGCTAGCACTGATTAAGTGATTATATTGTGTGTACAACTTCAAATTTCAAAACTACATCACATTTTGTAAATATTAACATGAACTTTTGTCTACTGAAATTTAATACAACGAAATAGCATTCTACTTCGATAATTTCAATCATAGTCGAGATCATAGTTTAATAATTATTTTCAATCATTATAGTAATTCACGGTTTCCACGGTTTTTTATACTTTCAGTAAGCCAGAATAAAGCTAAATTTGTAGGAAAATATAAACATTGTTTACTTCGAATAGTCAATCAGTGATAAAACCTTGACCTGTTGACCTTGATATTACCGTCCCTTGCAACTACAGATGAAGAGTCGCGAAAAGTTTGAAAAAGTTTTGTTATTTTGACATAATAGCTATTTTTCAATAAATATATTGATGTTAATTTTATTGAATCAATATGTTAAGTTTCAGGCCAGTTGTACCAAAATTTATAAGCGCTTGCGCACCATAAAGGTGGATTTCCACTCAGTGCAAAATGTCGCGCGATCGACATTTTGCGATCAATTTCTTCTGAAATACTAATACCGAGGGCCTGATACTCAGGTTACTGAAATACAAGCAATCAAACACAGCGGTCGTATTATCACATAATAGATATACCATGTCTATTTTGTGATTTTATCGATGAACATTGTCTGGTGTGTACCAGGAGGAGATTGGTTGCAAGTCATTAATTAGCCTGCGAACAGGCTCTCTTTGACCTCTCTTTGAATTCAATTCAAAGAGCCTGTTCACAGGCTAGTCATTAATATAACGTTTTGCACCTGATTACTTTCGGAATTGATTTTCAGACATTGGAATACTTTACCTTCGCCGGTGACCTCACTTTATAACTGGAGTGAAATCTCTTAAAGCAAAAGAAACCCCAGTAGGTAGAATAGAATACAATACAATACAATACCAAACATAGACTACTTATCTGTCTTTGCTATGGGTAGCCTGCTCGCATACGTAATAAATTTCGATAGTTTAATCTGCATGGCCATGGACGTAGGGAAATCGATATTTTGGGGGGCTCATATTATATTCGTGCAGGGACGCCGAGATGGGGGGGAATTGCCCCGGGCCCCTAGTTGCTGGGGGCCCCTGAAAATTTTTTGTTGGGGCCCAGCCTGTTTTGTGTGTTAAATATTTCCGCGCAAAGGACAAGATATCTGTTTTCTTGGGCTAAGTACCGAATTTTGGCATAAAAAATGAGATAAAGCAATTGCAACGTACTCGTTCGGAAAAATTTTATACTCCGGAATCAAACACAGCGTGATGTAACTGTAAATTTGTAAGTGTAATTTGATATCAAAAAGAGCAAAGGTCGGTAAATTTGCTTGGAAATTGTAATAATTAAAGATTTAGTGCAATTTAAAACGATATTAACTATATATTTCAATGAGACCCACTCCTTGTGCAAAATCAATAAACTTGAAAAAGTTCGTGAACTTTTTCAAGTTTTGACCTACTAAATCACATCGCTCAGCAGGTGGTACTGTGCCTTTAACGTCTCTATTGGGTTTGGCATTATGATTTGCTGTTTACGTCTAAGATCTATTACAATTTCAGATTCAAAACGACCTAGTCAACCAAAACTTTTGAAATACCCAGTGAACAAGAGCATTAATCCCAAAACAAAGAAAACAAAGAGTTTCAGTAGCTCTTGGTATAGTAGGTTTCCTTGGTTGGAGTACAGCGTTGAGAGAGATGCAGCGCTCTGTTATTGTTGTCGAAATTTCACTGCTAACAAAGCAAATTCAGCGGGTGCATCAGCTTTCACAACAACTGGATACAGGAACTGGGCTAATGCTCTTGATAAGGACAAAGGATTTCTTCAGCACGAACGATCAGAACTTCATAAAAACAGCTATTCAAATTGGATGACCTGGCAAAAAGTTCAAGAGGGTTCTGAGATAAACATTATCCAAAGGCTGTGTCCTGATAGAGCCACGGTTGCAAGTGAAAACAGAGAGTATCTTAGACATCTCCTCAAGTATGTACTCTGGTTTACAACCAACGAGCTTGCAATGCGCGGAGATGATGAGTCTGATGAGTCTAAGAACCCGGGAAAGTGGATAACATTTATTAAACTGCAGTTAGAAATGAATCCCACATTTAGAGAATTGCACAATAAAGTTACGAAGTCTAAGAGTACAGATTACACAAGTAAAACAAGTGTAAATGGCTTCATCGAGATTATAGCAGACAGCGTGCGTAAGGTCATTTGCTCCCAAATAAAGGATGCTGGGATGTTTTCAGCTCTTATTGACGAAAGCAAAGACACAGCAAAAAGAGAAGAGTTTGCCCTGGCTGTTAGACACTTCGCTCGTAAGGTAGTTGAACGTTTTTATGACCTTAGGCATTTGGAATCATTCGATGCCAGAACAATCATGAACGTTACAAAGGAAATAGTTGCTAACATCATTCAAAGTTCAGAAGGATCTATAGTTGTTTCATTGGGAGCTGACGGGGCCAGCGTTATGTCTGGAGAGTTTGGTGGCGTTGCAGAATTATTAAGATCTGAACATTTCCATTGGTTGATTTATATCCACTGCACAGCACACCGCATTAACCTCTTGGTGAACGATCTGATAAAGGACTCCAACCTGGCTGTTGACGTTATGAAAACAATCAATTCTTTATATTCGTTTCTCAACATACCTAAAGTTAGAATGGTCTATGAAGCAATGCATCAAGAGCTATTTCCTAAAAGTCAGATAAAGCACTTAGTCCAACAAATTGAGATACGGTGGGGCTGTAAATTTGAAGCAGTGGATCTTATGACTGATAAACCTCAAGTAATTCTGGCTACCCTCGTAAGGGTCACACAAAATCCTGATGTTCACGACCCAAAACATGTTGAACAAGCCAGCGGATTTTACCATAAACTTATCTCAGGAAAGTTTATTATTTCCCTCATCACATTGAAAGCATATCTGGCAGAAATGTTTTACTTGTCGAAGGAACTGCAAAGCGAAGAAATAAACTGGACTGATGTGCAATACGAGATTGAAAGAGTGAAGCAATCCATTTCTACAATGGATGATGACAAGTTACGTACAGAAGCAAGTATCTACTCTGAAAAGATTGGGATTCCGTTCAACAATTTGGAGTTGGAACTCCCAATACATGCAACCCGCTCAGCTGCTACAAACAATGCTGTCAGTAGAACAGAGAAAACAATCAAAGACCTGAATAGCTACATGAAGCAAAAAATTAAAGAAGAGTTCAAGGTACGTTTTGAAGAAAAGAACATTGAGATAATGAGGGCTCTTGAAGCTCTAGATGCCTCAAAAGAAAACTACCTGGAGATTGAAGCCTTGGACTATTTGATTGACCATTTTGACTGTCTAAATGTAAATCGCTCGATATTGGCGATTGAGATTTCTAGGGCAAAAATGGATTTTAGAATGGGGCTCCCAATCAGTGAGAAGAGATCTGAAAACTTAATGAAGTTGATAACTCTGAAAAACACTATTGCTACAACAACAGCAACAGTTGAAAGATCATTCTCTGGAATGAACAGAGTATGCTCGAAACTACGATCCAGAACCACAGCAAACCGTTTAGGGGATTTATTGTGTATATCTCTCAACAAGGATCTGGCCAATGAACTGGATGTAGAAGTTTTGATTGACAATTGGGCTGCAAAGTCGAACAGAAGAATCAATGTTTAGAACAGTTTAACATACGTTTGTGAATTGTGGTCTTAATAGTATTAACTAATTTAATACCGTCTTATTAAATAAGTTTCTTTCTTCGTGCACGACTCACTTTTTTAAAGTGTGCTTGTGGGTGCTAGTCAATTATCACTTATCAGCAGGAAATATAATGATTTGCCTCATTTTGTTGAATCAAAAGTAAAACAGTAAAACGCGAGGCAAAGCTAACCTCAAAGGCCGAAAATGCAGATAAACGCGTTTCAGAGAGTTCAAAATAAAAAAAATATGGGGGAGTAGGCACCCCCCCCTGAATTTTGGCCACCCCCCCAGAGAAAAATCTGAAAATCCGTCCTTGCACAGCGGTCAGGTTGACTGAACGTGTTTCAAAAGAAAGTGATCGCAAAAAGTTGATCTTGCGATATTTTGCACTGAATGGAAATCGGCCTGAAGGCTTTAGTCACAGAATACATACTAGACCAGAAGGGACACTCCTATGTGTAATGTGTTTTTGCTTGGGAAAAACGTCCGAAATTTTTTATGTGCTATGAAGCCATCCTGGAGTGCACACAGCACTTTGTACCTATGTTTGTACCCATGAAAAACTTCTGTGGTGCACTCCAGGATGGCGTCATATGATGGCGTATTTCACATCAGCACTCGTCGAGTGACACTTCTGGTCCACTTCTGTGCTTTAGTTGTCCTACGATTTATCACGATGAGATACATTTCACTTCACTTTACATGGCGGAACACCGGCGGAGCCACTGGGTGAAGGAGCGCGGGCGGAAAAGGGTGAAGGGAAGGAAAGGCAACTAAAGCCTCTGCAGAAGAGAGAGGGCATGCAACATGTACGCACTGCGTACCTATTTTTGTATCTGCGAAGCAGATATATTGCCATCGTGCGCGTACCGGAAATTTGTAAGCGTGCTCATAGCCAATCAACGACAACTTATAGATGAAATGACGTAATGATACTAATTTCAAAATGGCGGCTTACTAAAGTGTGAAACAAAAGGCAATTTGTGAATTTACGAAATCAAATGCAGTTTAAAACAACGTCATTTTACTACTCTGAATATGGCAAATGTCGCTAGTGCATTTTTGGCAAGCATTTGAAAGGTTTCATCATTTAATACGCAGGGGAAACGAAATGATTTGCAATTTTGGACAAGAAAATTATTGACTATAAATGGCATTGAGAATACTATTATGAAATTATGAAAGTAATGATTCTTCCACATGTTGCCGTTGTTGGTGTATATCGAGTTGTAAGTGTTGATGTTTATGTACTTCTCAATTTAACATTTTCATTGGTGACTTAGTTAATATAAATTAGTTGAATGAAACCAATAGAAGGCTATATAATTTCGTAAGGTTACATAATTTCTTTATCAATGATTATAACTATAGACAATTGGTGTCTGCTTTCATTACAGACTTTGATAGATCATTTTTATACAAATTTAGCAGAGTCAGAAGCTAAGTCACACATATTGGAAACATTTCTCTTAAAGCACTTTTTAGCAGTATGTGCATTGAATAATTGCTTTCATTAAAGCAAGGCAAAGTAATAGTGGCTGCATAAAGAGCAGAGATTCAGTTTTAGATTGGAATATCAATACTTATAGTAACAGTTGCAACCAGTCATAATTATTAACTATATATCCTGGACGGGGTGCTCCCTTCTTCATCGACCCTGATTTCTGCAACTGAATGTCATTGCCAAGAACACCAGTTAAGCAATTTATATCCCCCTTCACCTATCCCATACTATATATTGTCTTATAATCAACAACAACCATATGTCATAATGGGATCTTATTTAATATAGCACACAATGTACAAAACCAACATAATATTCTGTTTAGTGGATTTTCTTCCACGACAAAATATTATTGCATGGATCTGTTATGCTGAACTATATCATTCTATTCAAGAACTATATGCATCAATTATACTTCTAATTTTCACACTTGTCATCATTTGTTGCTGATGAATGACTTTCAATATATGACCTATTTGATATATTTACTAGGCATAAACAGTTGATTTGTGTGCCATCAACCCTGACTATGACATTTTCTAAAAGGAAATAGATTATACTTAAAAACAATTATAAACAGCAGAAATGTTGATGTTATGTATGTATCAATTATGGTATAAGAAGGCTTCCAAAACTCTGTAAAGTTAAAACTAAGACATAAACTTCTCCAGCAATTCCTGGATAGTTATTAAGTACTTGTTTTTCAGTAGTTGATCAATAAGCGTTGTCGATGCTACTGTTGGTGTGTTATCATCGCTGTTGTTGTTGTTGTTGTTGTTGTTGTTGTTGTTGTTGTTGTTGTTGTTGTTGTTGTTGTTGTTGTTGTTGTTGTTGTTGTTGTTGTTGTTGTTGTTGATGTTTCCTTGTTTGCTAGTAATCTGTTTCAATAAAATTAATTAGGACTAATGTAGTAATAATACAGTAACTTTATGTGCTTGTAATTTTTGTCACTGAAAAGCCCCTTCAGGGGAGTGTCAATACTGTCAATGAATCAACAATGAACAACAATGTATATTGGCACCACCTGTTATCCTGACAACTTCTATGCATCTACCATGTTCTCGCATGCCTGCTAAAGTTTAATATGAACTATCAAGAAGATTTGGATAAACAAAAATTTATTAGAAGCAAAATGATAAACAAAAAATTATTAGAAGCAAAATGAGATACAGAAATTTGAGTAATAATATGAAGATAGGCAAACTGTGAACAACAATTACAATTCAAATACTGTAGTCAAGCAAGACTTTGCAATAGTGAAGCAAGTTGATGGGTGGGTTTCACACATGACCGACATAACTCGGCAACAGAGTGGGCAGAGTACCCCCCCCCCCTATCAGATCATGCTGGATCCATCCCTGCAAGAACATTATAAAATTAAGGTGATTCAACAAGAACATCATAAAATTGACTATCATCTTTGTGACGTTATAGCCGGAATTAGTTTCTGCAAGTTGAATATATATATCAGCCATTTTATTTTTCTTTCATCTGACATACTATAAATCTAACTTTATTTAACTGGTCAACTGTTAAACATCAGTCCCTTAAATTTTTTTACAAGCTACTGAGTGTTGATTCAACTTGAAGCCTTGGCAAAAGTGCAATCACCATGAGCAGATACATGTACGCTTAGCGTACCTATTTTTAAGTGACGCGAACAAATTGCAAGTTGAAATTCTTAAAGATTTGTAAACAAAGCCTCTGATTCGACTAGAATTAAGAAAAAGGGAAGCTCCAATCCAGTTGCTCAGACCATTTGATTAACTTCCTTTTTTGCCATTGCATGGCTCCCTTTTGTGAATTTCAACTTGCAATTTGTTCGTGTCGCTTGCAAATTGTTCAGAGCTATCTGCTTATCAAAATTGCAATATTGTGGTTGAATAATGCAATGTTGCTCGCAAGAGAACATCCGGTTTGACTGTAAGAGGCAGACTTGGAGCACGTCTAGTGTATCTCCGGCATGGAAAAGAGACCTCACAGAAGACCGAAAGCTTGACAATGTATAATCGATCTAAGATTTGTCAATCAACGATATCATGGTTGCAACCAATCGGAATTTTCTGTTGTGTGGACACGTATTTCGTTTCTTGATGTGTTGTCTGCAGTCCCTATTAAAGGAGGGACTGCTCGCAGTCTACAGTATAGTTTACCATATGATTTACCTTGCTTCGGCTAGAGTAATGTTAGTATACAATAGAAAGTCCACATCCAAATTATCGTGATGCGTTTGACAATTTTGTTTAACAAAACCGCTAAGAATAAATTTGTAATCGTAGTGGATCGAACGCGGAAAATTGCCTTAATTAGGCACTCCGCCACACATTCACTTTTTCCGCTGGAGGGGGGGGAGGCAAAGCATCCTAAATTTCCGACAAAACTTTTAAATTTCTGTAAAAAATTCGTCAATTTTCCGTAAAGGTGGGGGGAGGGCGGCGGTCGCCCTGTAGTAGAATTTTGTGTTGCACTATTCTACGAGAAAAAAAACCGCCCTCTTCAGCCGGTGACGTAGAAAAATTGAAATGGCTGGACGCTAAAGCCGGTACAGACGAGCAAGTTTTCTATGACAAGTTTTTATGTGACAAGTTTTATGTGACAAGTTTTATTTGCCAAGTGCACGTGTGTATATGCAACAAATTTTATATGACAAGTTTTTATATGACAAGTTTTATTTGCTGGTGTGAACGTGTCAACAGTTTACTTTGACAATTTAAATTAAGTCAATGTAATATATGATAATAATTTAATATTATTAATATTGACTATAATATTAGTAATATTATTAAAAGTGTTATTAATATTAAGAGGAGATTTTTTTGTATGTTACGTATAACACGCGCTCAAAACTAGTGCGTATAAACTATAATATATCACTTGAGGTTATGACTAAATTCAAAATTTTTATTTTTCGATACGTTTCTCAATCGGCAAACAAACTTAAAAAGTATGTTTAGTGTTTTATCTGTAAAATATACGGCTAAAATGAAGATATCTTAGATGATACGCCAAAGAGAAAATTATGTCTGAAGTTCAGTAAATTTTGCTAATATGGCTGTAAATATGCATGGCGTCTATTTTAAAGCAACATTGACAATTGTATTTTAATTGACAATTTTTAACTATTATTTTTTATATCTTTAGCCTTCGATACAGCATTTCATTGTTATGACGAGACCATTTCAAAGAGAAAGAATCTAGCTTTAACAAAGGAGGTGAACATAAAATGTTCCCTCGAGTATCAAGAAAAATTCCTCTTCGTCATGCCTATGCATGCTATGCTCATCTTGAACTTTGGCATCGTCTTTGCTTTGAGTATTATATATGGATATTTGGTGAAACATCGCGTTGAAAAATTTGATTATCCGCCAAGAACGGCAACTTCCGATGATGATGACCACGAAAGTCAAGCGTTCTTAGCTACTCAGTCCTCGTCAAGTTCCGGTTTGGCATTTTACATTTATATCGCTCATTTGTTCGTCGCTCGTATAATTCCATTGTTGGTATTTGCATCAATATTTTACCCAGCTCATTTTCCTAACAATTATGTCTGTTCTTGGCGGCCTGAAATGCATGGAAAAGGTACTTCCACTATCAACGATACCATCAACTTACGACATAATTTAACGATTATTGGCTGTACAAATCCTAACGGCGGAAAAAGTGAAACCTTAGTTGACGCTGTTGCCATAGTGGGTGTTATTATCGTAATACTGGCGGTTTTGGAACTAGTCTACATCGCTTGGGTCGCCTTTGATGAAAGGAGTTTTAGGACTGACCAAGAATTTTGTACGGTGTACTTGCTGAGAAAGCGAAAAACAATTAGAAAATTTGTGAACAAAATTCGAGAAAGATTTAATGGCGAAGAGGTATTTGAATTAAAGGATGATTTTGGCGGTATTGAAATTTCCAGGCTACCTCTTGAACAGATATATGTCAATGTCGTTATTCAAGACGGGAGAGAACACATGAGCGCTTACCCGAGGGAATTTAAAAGGCATGAAATTTACCAATCTTATCTCGAAACCCCAAGCACAGTTACTAAGCTTACGAGCACAGCTGATCTATTCAAACCAAAAAAAGACGAGCTGAAACAGACTTATCCGCGAACCATCCTTGTTATAGGGCGACCCGGAATTGGTAAGAGCATGTTAACAAAGAAACTGTTACATCAATGGAAAGAAAGAGAAGATGATTTCTGGCATGAGAAAATTGCAATCTTGCTTCAATTTCGTACATTTAACGAAACTGTTACTCTTCGAGAAATGTTTGGTTCTGCTAAAGGACTGTCATCAGATGATTTTCAAACTGTATATGATTTTATATTATCCAACCCAACTAAAATCGTCTTGATTTTTGATGGATTAGATGAACTAAATGTTAACAGCGAACGTTTGTGTACAAATACGGGGACAGTTGGTAGTCCTAATGAAAAACAGCCGGTGTTTTCAATTTTTAAAATGTTAGTTGATGGTAGACTGCTACGAGGTGTCACAATATTGACAACGTCACGGCCTACGGCACAGCATCTTTTGAATGACCTTAACTTCGAAAGAACAGTTGAGGTCTTAGGTTTTTTCGAGGAGCAAATTAAGGAGTATGTTTTTAAATTTTGTGACAAAAGAAATACTGGTGAATTGATTTGGAATGAAATCCAAGGATCAGCCGAAAAGTGCAGCTTGTGTTATATACCTGTCAATAGTTATATTGTTTGTTTAACTTTAAAGGAAAGCATTGAAAATGATGAAAGTGGAGCACGATTTCAGAACAGCAATATACCAAAAACTATAACTGAACTGTACAAAAGAGCTGTAAAAGTCTTATTATATCGACACCATCCACTATACAAGTCGCAACCAAGGCCGAATGATTACCTCATCACCCCGTTTCCCGAAAAACTCGAAAAAGACTTGATGAAGATAAAAGAAGTTGCAAAAAAAGGAATTTATGACGGCCAGTTAATTTTCGAACGATCGAGTATGGATGAATTTGGAGACCTGGCCAATTGTGGCTTTTTTACCAAGTTACCAGACAAACGACGGAACTTGTTTTGCTTTCTACATTTAACACTGCAGGAGTTTCTTGCGGCATCAAAGGTGGTTGATGACATTGGCAGAGTTGCGCAATTTTTGGATGATCATGTTGAAGACCCCAAGTGGCATTTGGTGATACAGTTTGTCGCTGGTTTAGTTGGAGATAAATTTAGAGGAAATCCGAAAGAAATCGAAGCTAACAGCCAAAAGGTTTTTGCTGATATTCAGAAAAGGTATTATATATCTTCTGTTATAGACGGCGTGTAATTTTCATTAACCATGAGGTTTTCATATATTTATTTACTACAACTCAACAGTTTTTACAGAAAAACCCAGTTTCTCAAAACGTTTTGTGTTCGTTCTGTCCTCTGACCTCTCTATTTTCAATGTTACTGGACAAAAGTCTATTACCATAATAAATTAACATGAACTATATAATAAACTGGACAATTTCCCAACGTTTCTCAACAGAACTATCAAAAAACAAAGGGCATGAGACTTCAGTGTGTTTTTTATCACACAATGGACAATTTTTTAAACCTTGGTGTACTGGATCAAATCCAGATGTGCGTAGAGCATGGACCCTACCTCGCATGCGACTTGGTGGCTGAAAATTAGTTGACTCTTTACCCTTATCTGGCGGCTCAATATTGTATCGCTCACGTTTACGCATGGTTTTGGCTCTAACTTGGGCCCACTTGGCTAAACCCTTCATGTCTTCCGAGTAATCTTCACTCTCAACCTGTTTTATCCATTCATCCCTTTCTCTAGGTGGGAGTTTTTGAACCAACAAGGTACAAAGAGGTATACTAGCTAATTCATGCCTATAGTCAGGTTTATCTAGTGCAAACACAGCTGCTTGTAATGCATCTGCAAAGCGTTGAAATTCTTCACGATCCTTAATGTGGGGCCAAGAACTTATTCTGCGCAAATGGGCATCTATAATTTCTCGGGGGTCCCCATACCTATCAGTGAGTTGTTTCACCGCCCTGTCATAGTCCCCAGGCTCCCCGGTCAGGCATGCAATAACTTCACGTACTCTGTCCGTTAAACAGCTATTCAGATGAGCTAGCTTGATTGCTGGCGTTAGTTTATCGTTTTTATGGACAAGAGAACTACATATTCCCCAAAAGTACGGCCACTTATCTGGTTTTCCCTTTCAACACCTTTCAGACCAGTTTTTTTCCCAGACATTGAATCGTTCACAGTTTCAGTATTTTCATCATTATTCTGAGCAGTTGGTGGTGTAATACTAGACTGCTCGTTTGGCGATGGGCTCTCAGACTTTAATAAATATTCGGCAACTTCTCCCAGGACTTCGTTGACATCAAATTCTACCTCTTCTAACCAGCTACCATCAGTCTCAATTGACGCTGGATCAAGCTCTTCCAGTTCTTTCGTAAGGTCACGGGCTTTCGTACGACCTTCTTCTACACCTTTGGCAAACTGTCGGACTTTCGAAACACTTCCATCGCTAGAGATCAGCTCTCTGACACGATTCATATTTCTTGTCACGCTAGCTTTCGCGACTTTTCTCTTCGCTCTACACTTGTCAATTTCGCTTACTTCTGGCATTTTCTTTCTTATCCGGCTCGACGAAGGACCAGCTCTGTTATAGACGGCGTGTAATTTTCATTAACCATGAGGTTTTCACATATTTATTTACTACAACTCAACAGTTTTTACAGAAAAACCCTGTTTCTCAAAACGTTTTGTGTTCGTTCTGTCCTCTGACCTCTCTATTTTCAATGTTACTGGACAAAAGTCTATTACCATAATAAATTAATTAACATGAACTATATAATAAACTGGACAAAGTCCAAAACATCTTCCATATGCAGACTAGCTAAGCCTACAGTAGAGCGGTTCACATAACTGAAACTGAAGTGAGATATGCAAGAACAGAAAAGAACTCAAACATGTTTTGTTCTTCGGAGTTTTATGGCGGGAATTTATATTAATATCGGTAATATTTCGCAGCATTGTGTTGGGTAATTTTCGAGTAAAATACTTTAATTGTTGTTTGGATCATTATTCCCTCCATTGTACATCGATAATGCATAGTGATATACAGCGCGTATAAAAAAGTATAGCCTTTCAAATTCAAAGGCTCGCTAATTTGTTCGAAGCAATTTAATATAGCTTGTCAGATGAATTCAATAGAATACGGCGTTATGCTCGATTTAAATTTGAAAGGATATATACTTATTTTGTAGACGTCAAGCGAACTACGGATAAAATTACATTCACTCGTCACTGTGTATGGTTTCTGCCACAACATAAATAATAAACAATTATTGAAGTCGAATTTCGCATGACATCAAGAATTATTCAGACCTCGGTCAATGTTATCTGTCGAAGCGAATAACATTGACCGAGGTCTGAATAATTCATGATGTCATGCGAAAGCCGACTCCAATAATTGTTTTATGCTTCATAGACATCAGAAACGTATAAAACGATTAAACGAAGATTATTAATGTTTCAAGTATGGCTTTATTTTCGCGCGCTTTTGGGTTTGAGTTGTTGGCTTGGGCGCGACAGCGTCCAATATTATTGGCATCCTCGTCTCCATGAGGCCCGAGCTTGGACCTGGGGACGAGGATGACGCTGAGCACGTCAGCAGCTGAAATTACGTAATAAGTACCGAATATTTAACAATTATTGGCCGAAGGCGAGGTGATTATCGGGGATTAGTATTTTTGCACAGGTTAACATAACAAATCCTACAACCTGATTGGTAAAATAACAAAACTGAAATTTTCAAAATGGCGGCTAGCCGTTTTGTGGAAGTTTACTGATAAAGAAATAAGACTTGTGTAAAAATACTATACTAAAACAATCATTCGCCTTAGGCTCTGTGATTATCGTGGAATATTCACGTCGACTTCGTCTCGGCGAATATTCCCTGATAATCACCGAGCCTGAGGCGAATAATTGTTAAATATTCGCCAAGACGAAGTCGAGGTGAATATTCCCCGATAATCACAGAGCCTGAGGCGAATAATTGTTTTAGTATTTTTGCACAAGTTTTTTGTGTTTTTCTGGTCTGAATTCATTTTAATTTCGCTTATTTCTTTATCACTAACTTCAACAGAACGGCTAGCAGCCATTTTGAAATTTCGTTTTTGTTATCGTCAATATAACAGATTAATACGTCAAATTTGACCAATCACCTTGTACGGTTTGTTATGTTCACTTGTGCAAAAATACTAATGAGAATTATCCGGTGCTCTCTGACCAAACAGGAACGAGAAGTCGAGAATACATACTAAATGTATAATAATTCTTGTTTTTCCTTGCTTCAGGGAGTGGATTCTAGCTTATTTAATTTTTTGAAATAGATATATCCTTTCTTTTTGTATTTTGTCAGTAAGAATTTTAAAAAACCTGCCCAAAGCCAGTTCAAGACATTGATCTAGGACTGCCGGCGGACGTAAACAATTTAAAATTCAGCGGGCTGAAATGCATTTTAGCCCCCTGATTTGTTAATTTTAACCCGCAAAATACGCCACAACACCCGCTGAAGTTATTCTAATATTGGCTTTTTAAAATCTGTTTAGACTTGAGCAATGGGCTTCTTTATTGGGAACTATTACTGATGGAAGAAGTGAGAAAACTGAAACTGCTTTACTTGCCGTAAAGTGTTTGTATGAATTACAAGATATTGATATCTTGAAATCAGTTTGCAGTAAATTTTTGGCCGGTGGAAATGGAGATCTGCGTTTGGGATACCTGCATATTGCAGCATTTGTTTCTACAGCATTGTTTACGTTTTTGGGTAACAGCAAGAATTTAAAACGACTTGATTTTCTTACTTGCACAATACAGGATAACTGCAGCAATCATTTCAAGTTGTTATTGAACACTGCAGGTAACACTATTACCTCTTTTACGTGTTTTGGAGGTTTAGCAGATAGAGATGTTGAATATCTTAGTGAAGCTTTAAAAAGTGAAAATTGCAAACTTGCTAAATTGAACCTCGGTGTTAATAAAATAACAGATCAAGGTGTTAAATATCTTAGTGAAGCTCTAAAAAGTGAAAATTGTAAACTTACTAAATTGAATCTCGGACATAGTGTTATAACAGCCTTAGGTGTTGATTATCTTAGTGAAGCTTTAAAAAGTGAAAATTGTAAACTTACTAAATTGAATCTTGCATGGACATAGTGTTATAACAGATCTAGGTGTCATATGTCTTATTTATGCTTTAGAAAGTGAAAATTGTAAACTTACTAAATTGAATCTCGGTGTTAATAAAATAACAGATCAAGGTGTTAAATATCTTAGTGAAGCTCTAAAAAGTGAAAATTGTAAACTTACTAAATTGAATCTCGGACATAGTGTTATAACAGCCTTAGGTGTTGATTATCTTAGTGAAGCTTTAAAAAGTGAAAATTGTAAACTTACTAAATTGAATCTTGCATGGACATAGTGTTATAACAGATCTAGGTGTCATATGTCTTATTTATGCTTTAGAAAGTGAAAATTGTAAACTTACTAAATTGAATCTCGGTGTTAATAAAATAACAGATCAAGGTGTTAAATATCTTAGTGAAGCTCTAAAAAGTGAAAATTGTAAACTTACTAAATTGAATCTCGGACATAGTGTTATAACAGCCTTAGGTGTTGATTATCTTAGTGAAGCTTTAAAAAGTGAAAATTGTAAACTTACTAAATTGAATCTTGCATGGACATAGTGTTATAACAGATCTAGGTGTCATATGTCTTATTTATGCTTTAGAAAGTGAAAATTGTAAACTTACTAAATTGAATCTCGGTGTTAATAAAATAACAGATCAAGGTGTTAAATATCTTAGTGAAGCTCTAAAAAGTGAAAATTGTAAACTTACTAAATTGAATCTCGGACATAGTGTTATAACAGCCTTAGGTGTTGATTATCTTAGTGAAGCTTTAAAAAGTGAAAATTGTAAACTTACTAAATTGAATCTTGCATGGACATAGTGTTATAACAGATCTAGGTGTCATATGTCTTATTTATGCTTTAGAAAGTGAAAATTGTAAACTTACTAAATTGAATCTCGGACATAGTGTTATAACAGATGAAGGTGTCAGATGTCTTAGTTTTGCTTTAGACAGTCGAAATTGTAAACTTACTGAATTGAATCTTGGACATAGTGTTATAACAGATGAAGGTGTCGGATATCTTAGTATAATAGCTTTAGCCAGTCGAAATTGTAAACTCACTAAATTGAATATCGTACATAGTGTTATAACCGATGAAGGTGTTGAATATCTTAAAGAAGCTTTAAAAAATGAAAATTGTAAACTTACTAAATTGAATCTCTATGCTAATCGAATAACAGATCAAGGTGTTGCATATCTTAATAAAGCTTTAAAAAGTGAAAACTGTAAACTTACTAAATTGAATCTGAATTCTAATCAAATAACCGATGAAGGCGTTAAAAATCTTACTAAAGCTTCAAAACGGGAAAATTGTAAACTTACTAAATTGAATCTCTATGCTAATCGAATAACAGATCAAGGTGTTAAATGTCTTAGTGAAGTTTTAAGAAGTAAAAATTGTAAACTGTGAATTGAATCTCAATGGTAATGAATTAAACAATCAAGGTATTAAATATCTTTGTGAAGCATCAAAAGGCAAAAATTGTGAAATTAAATATAAACAGAACAAAATCTTAAATATTTATAGTTCATGCTTTAAGAAATAAAAAATGTAAACTCACTACGTTGTATATCAGAGAATGGGATACTGGAAGATTCGGAGCTTAAGAATACTTCTAACGAATTGAGTGCATGTAGCAGCGAAGAAGAATATAACGATTCATATTGTTCAGACTGGCTTTCTTAAAGTGGATATCATCCAAAATGGCCTGATTATATTCCGTATTGATTGCATATCATGTTAGTCAAATGATAAAATATTTGTTGATTTGAGCAATTTGATTTAAAGTTATCCGGAATTTTATCCTGCATAAGGAATATAATTATGGTGTGAGCAAGTCTAAGTTTTCAAGTGGCGGACAATATAATTGGTTCAGTGTTTTACAGCTACAACGAGTATACTGAAATTCCTCCTGTTACGTCATCTCATTAATACTGATTAAAATGTTAACTCAGGATTTTGACATTCAAGTTAAGAAATATCTAAACGTTAGTCTATTAAACTGATATTGTTCTGACATTATTGATTTTTGGATGATTGGCACTTACAAAAGCTGGTAGTGGCGTAGCCAGCCCGACGATTCGGTCCCGCTATGCATATATTGCCATGTTTATGACTATCAACACAATCAATTTCTAAAGAAATGAATAATGATGAGTTGAAATTTGCATAGCGGGACCAGATCGTCGGGCTGGGTGTACGCCAATGGTGGCTGGGAACTTGACATTATACAGGGCTCTCCCCCATGGTTGTCTCATGTTGTTAAACAAACCCACTTAGGGCCTGTTTACATGGAGGTAGGGTGACCCTATCAGGAGGGTTACCCTAGCAAGCGGGTCAGAAAATAGCGAGCGTTTACATGAGGTAGGGTGACCCTACTGCTAGGGCTATGTTGCCCGATAGGGTAACCCTACCTATGCGTGGTCGCTAAGACGTCTGCATTAGATAAACTGCGCCGAAACGCAAAGTTTTAGCGGCAAGTTGTGTAATGCTATTTATTGTGGCTTTGCTTGCTGCATTTCAATGTTGTGGTCTGTTATTTCAATGCCTTATGTCGTGGTCTGTTATTTCAATGTGGTCTGTTATTTCAGTGGAATCGCATTGCGCAATGTATTCCTTGATATAGTCCAACACAACAGTTTTTCGACATGTCGGCTGACCAAGAGCGTTTATTTTGTTTTTTTGACGTCGATGAGGATGCGCCGGAATTTTGCTTCCTTTTCTCCGTCTTTGACTTTGATATCGAAACTACATCATTCACAGCGTTATCGTCCAAAGGCAAAGCTTCGTTATGTGCCTCTGCTTCCTTATTTGTAAATTACTTATCCTTTTTATTTTCTGGTGTCGTTTAAAATACTCGCCAGGCTGATATGTTCATATGTATAATCTAGCGACGCCATCCTTGTTTGTCCATCAGTCACAGTAGGACATATAAAACATGACTCGCTTGCTAGGGTAACCCTACCTGACGCGTTTACATGGCTTATGTAAACAAAAAGATAGCTCTGCTGCTAGGGTCACCCTATCTGTTTGATAGGGTAACCCTACCCCTAGGGTAACCCTAGCGCGCATGTAAACGCTTCCTATAAAACATATTGAAGTAGGGTAACCCGCTTGCTAGGGTAACCCTTCTGCTAGGGTCACCCTACCTCCATGTAAACAGGCCCTTACGAAAACTCCATATCTACATACCAATAAAGATATTGTGAATATAGTGTTAAGTACGCATTAAATTCTAACAAAGTTAGTAGCATAATTTTTGCCATATATAGGCAGGGACTTTGCGAATCCAGTACTGAAACACTTGCATGGTCATTTGTAAGAATAGGTTAAATATATTCTAAAATTTAATTTAAGTAAAGTTTGAATAAAAAACATGAGGTGTTTTTGAATTATAATTTGTACAAAGATAAAAATATTCGAAAGAAATGGAATTCGATCATTTACAATTTCGTTTCAGAAAATAACAAAAATACAGTGTTAGCTAGAGCTTCGAAAATAAGAGGGTCTGTTGGTTTAGGGTCCAACAACCAACTATCGTTAGACTGTTTCCACACAGAGGTCTGGTTTATACTAGTGCATGTCTGTATTTAAATTCGTGCAAGACGCGTTTCATCTATCAGTCAGACGGGAAAATGTGAATTTTCGTTTATTCTGAATCTATTGTGTTTATTGTGAATTTTTTATTCTGTTTAATAGTATTGTAAAACCAATGTCTATAGCAGGGCATTTTATATAATACTGCATTCACGTTTGAAATAAAATAGAGCTTTGTTCGACCAGTCAACGATTTAATAGCGAATTTGTTTGAATTTTGAATCCAACGTATGTATACCAGGCCTCTGAAACGTAATTGCAGTGTCAATGACAATGTCAGTGAAAATGTATATGTGTGTTGCACTACATGAATGTGTTTGTGAAGTAAATCCTCTATTAAAGTCCCAATTTACTGATGGTACGTTGAGGGGGTGGTTATTGGAGGGAACGATAAAGTGGGACGTATTATCATTATGATCTAGATATCTAAACGTGGTAACCTAAAATCTATAACATAAACGTCCAGGATAATTTGTCTGATTAATAAATCTATTCATGCAGTAAACATGTATCCATATATAAAGGGGTGGGGAGAGGGGCGTTTATTAAAGAAGGAAGTACTTAATGTATTTATATATGAAGGGAGAATATTGATTATTAGAGAGGTGGCTTTTTTAGAGGGGTCTTAATAGAGGATTTACGGTAACACACATCCGCTAGCTTTGCGATGTCCCTGCATGGTTGAATGTATGTAATTTTATCAATATATAGTGCTTGCATGCTTTTTAGAAATTTAGAAAAAAGGATAGGAGCAAAAATATAATTATAAATAGTTATTTGAAATTGACCGTATAAATTCTCGTGGTTTCACTTTAATATCTATGCGCGCGCCTAATTAAAACGGTACTAAACGAAAAGTCACACATTAATGATGATTTTTCCGTACTAAAATGAATGTGGGAACTTCAATTTTTTACGAAAGTACAATTGTTACTCACGTGGAGTCGGTTGTATAAAAAGGTGGTTAAAGTTAACTACGTTTAGTGCGAAAGTTAATTAATCAAAACAGTATAGTTAAAAAGAAGTTAAGAATTTTATACAATCGTCCCCAGACACATGAAAAATCAGAAAAAAATACGCCAGGCGGCAAGAGAAAATAAGCAGGACGCTTCATAAAAAATCCTAATAAACGATGTAGACATTTACTGCATGTATGCTGTGATACAGAATGCTTTCTTACTATTTACATTTTGTGTTTCTGCCACTGGGAAAAAAGTGAAATCCATGCTATGACATTTGCAATTGCACCACTAAATCCATAGTATATCCATTGTATGGAAATATGCAATTATTATGGATAATCAAAATCCATTCTATTTAAAGCCTTTAAAAATGCTTTGTCATTTGTATTTTTAAACAATTTCCATTCTATGGATTTTCATTTTTCAATGTTACGTGACAAACCTATTTTTCGTTCAGTTTTAACTTCGCGCGAATTCTAATGCTACGTGAATTTATATAGATACGAATCTTATCCGATAGTGTTTGCTTTTTAAAGAATACAAGCAAAAATATATAGAAATAGTTATTTTGAAACAACTGTTTGAACTTTTTGATGTAGTTTTAATCGTACAATAAACTTGTTAAGTGCTTGTCAACGACTGAGGTACAATTAATGAAATCGTAAATGTTTAATTTGTAAAAACTTGAAATATATTTTTATTGTCATCCTTGCTGCGTCAAATTTATTCGTGGTATAGCCCCTTTTTAGTGCAAAGTTTCATTTTGCACCATTATATACCATTGCTGTATAGGTGGCAAGGTGAGACGAGACATTTATTCATACATCTATATATATATCTATCTATCTACTACAGGCTGAGACTAACTTTCTGGGGTGCATATACGATTTATGTGTGTATAGTGATTTATTGTAGGCTACTTAGTCTGTGCTTTGAAGTTTATTTAGGCAAAATCAGTTTAGGCCGTTTGCTGTGACCTCGAAAAGTGCCTAGAAAACGATTTTCATTTCACCTGTCTTGGAACTGAAATAGTGATAGTGATAGTGAACTTTAGTCAGGCACGGATGCCTGTCATCGAAAATAAGATGATCTTCCCAGGCGCCGTGAACTAACACTTTCGAACGCGCTGAGTTCAAATCCGAAAAGTTCCCGCTCTATAGACCTGCAGTTTTCTCACAAACTGCAATTTTATCTTCACTAATTTCGCGACAACTTTTTTCATTGTTCAACGACATGGATCGATGACGACAAAGGGCAAATTTCTATTAACCAGTCTTCCTTTTAACAAAAGATCGGTTTTGCTCGAATCATTTTGATTTATGTTATATTATGCGTGTTGGACGTAAACAATATATCTTGTCTACAACTTTGAGAAGGTACAGATAAAGCTTTCTGAAATCCTCAGTTCTGGCTCTATCTCTATAAAATTACAAGGACGTTAATGCTTAGTTTTTTGGCTATGTCTTTGGGCTGAGAAATAATCCTTTACATGCGATCAAAATGTTTTATACAATGATGTAAAACGGTAAAGTTATGTAATGGATCAGCATTTGAATTTCCAACACAGTAATTCAGGAGGTAACTTATATATCATTGCATTTGAACAATTATATATTCAGTTGGTGTTATTCTGTGCGATTAGCGAGTATTATTGGAAAGAGGGCTTTCATATACGTTGCAATCACCAAATAAACAGCTGCACACATTTCTCCACTTCGTCGTAGGTTTACAGAGCAGATTTTATACTTTGGCACTGATATTTGTCTTTGATGTGAACATTAATTCTTCTAGTTCAAGATTATTTAAAGTGCCTATGCGACAATTGTTTTACGATTGAATTGCAAAGTTCATTTACAATCATAATAGAACTTGTTTTCTAAAACTTTGTATTCTTTCCTGTATGTCAAGATTTTCCACTTTGTTTGACATACAAATGTGACTTAAATGACGTCACGCTGCATAATGAGTTTTTAGAAAGAAAACGTTTCCTTGGCAAATATGTAATAATTCCACTGACATTGAAAGTGACATACTTTAAGAGTTATCAAAGCGATCATTTCGTCTGTAAATTTGAGATAATGAGAATTTTAACAAGCTACAACACAGTCTTCTGTAAAACGCATTATGCAGTGTGACGTCATTTAAGTCACATTTGTATATACAAACAAAGTCGAAAATCTTGACATACAGGAAAAATTACAAAGTTTTAGAAAACAAGTTATATTATGGTTTTAAACTAACTTTGCAATTCAATCATAAAAAATTGTCGCATAGGCACTTTAAGAGTGATCCTGTCGTAAGTCTTCTACCAGCAACCCATGGACATTATTCCTTCGTTTTTATTGTTCCTTCGTTTTTATTGTCAAACTGCATGTCTATAGTGCCAAAAATTGATGAAGTTTCCTTTTTTATAAAACAACATGATATAGAAATCGCAATGTTTAGTGAAGAAACTTGGTTAAGAGATTCAATTCCTGATGGGCCAATAGAAATTAGGGATTACCTCCTCTTTAGACGTGATCGCGAAATACGAGCACATGGAGGAGTCTGTATATATGTAAAAGAATCAATAGAATCTAAAATGCTATCGGAATTTCACAATGACGAACATGAAGTACTTTGGCTATTATTACGTCCTAGGCGTTTACCGCGCGGGTTTTCGAATATTATCGTCGCCTGCTTATATCATCCACCCGACGCTGATAATACGACCATGAGCGAATATCTAAAGTCCACATTAGAGATGGTCGAGACCCAATTTTCAAACAGTGCCATAATACTGGCTGGAGATTTCAATAAGCTGAGCTTTAAAACTGCAGCTAGATGCTATGAATTAAAGCCTGCAATAAACTTCCCTACCAGAGGTTCGAACACTCTTGACCAAATATATACAAATATGCAGAACTACTATCAACCTCCAACTAAAAATCCTCCCTTTGGGCTGTCAGATCATATAACTATTACTGTATTTCCAAAAGTACGCGAAAGATCGAAACTACAAAGGAAAACTATTAGAATTCGTCCAAAGAAACGCAGCACAATCGCAAGTCTCGGCCGATTCTTCATGAAGATACCGTGGACTGACTTGCTGTTTAAAGCCCAGTCTAGCGACGAAAAGTTGAATATATTTACTGAAATAATACGATACGGTTTGGACACGATTATGCCTGAGCGTTCTATTAAAGTCCACGAAACGGATAAACCTTGGATGAATGCTAACTTAAAACAACTTATAAAGAGACGACAAAAAGCCTTCTCCTCGGGTGACGTGTTTCTCTATAAATTGTTGCGAAACAAAGTTAACCGTGAGAGGAAAAGGTGTCGAATGATATACTACAAGAACAAGGTACAAGATCTACAGCATACCAAACCCCGTGATTGGTGGCGAGAAGTAAAGCAGTTTTGTGGCACGTCTAAAGCAGCGAGAAGAGATATTCGGTCGATATTAAGAACAAATACAGAGAGTAGTGATCAAGATCTGGCTAATGAAATTATGAAAGCCTTTGTTAGTGTAATGGACAATTATACGCCGTTATCGGAGGACGTATGCGTGTTGACGGACCATGATGAACCAATTGTAGTGGACGAGGAGTCAATCGCGAAAAAAACTTCGGCAGATCAATATATCAAGAGCGGGAGGCCCTGACGGTATACCCAATTGGGTTTAAAAACATTCTCTGATATATTATCCCCAGCCATCACAAACATAATTAATGCATCCTTTCGGGAATCAAAAGTACCTCGTGTGTGGAAATTGGCCAATGTTACACTCTTACCAAAAACAGTTGCCATTGAAGACTTCAATAAAGATCTAAGACCAATCTCATTAACACCAACTTTATCCAAGATTGCTGAGTCATGCATCATCGAGCAGGAAATAAGACCTACGCTGCTGAAAGCAATGGATCCAAATCAATTTGGTTTTGTGCCCGATTCATGTACTACTTTTGCTTTAATTTCGATGTTACATCGCTGGTTGGAAAACACGGATGGCACTGGTTCGCGCGTCAGGGTTGCACTTCTGGATTACAGAAAAGCATTTGACTTAGTGGACCACAGTATTCTAATTGCCAAACTTTTTAGCCTTGGAGTCAAACCGACAGTTGTAAATTGGATTGCTGACTTTCTACGTGGGAGATCACAGCGTCTAAAGCTTAATTCGGATTGCTTTTCAAATTCCGAAATAGTTCCAGCTGGAATTCCGCAAGGTACTAAGATTGGTCCTTGGCTATTTTTAGCAATGATAAATGATTTAGCGATACCTGGTAACTCCTCTGATTTGTGGAAATTTGCAGACGACACTACAGTTTCCGAAATTATCCCAAAAACCGGATCAAGTAGACTACAGGTACAGGTGGATCAGATAAATCGCTGGTCGAACGAAAATAATTTTCAGTTAAATTCTCTGAAATGTAAAGAGCTCCGCATTGACTTTACTAGACATCGACATATAGACGACCCAATAACTGTCAACGACCTAGCTTTTGAAGTCGTGCAATCTGCAAAAATTCTTGGTGTAACTATTAGGGAAGATCTTAAATGGAATGATCATGTAACCGAGATTACCCATAAGGCATCAAAGCGGCTATATCTTCTAAGAATATTAAAAAGAGCAGGTGTGGACGTAAATTCTTTAGTGCAATTCTACTGTACGTGCATCCGATCAATTCTAGAATATGCCTGCCAGACATTTCATAGCAATTTGCCAGAGTATTTGTCTAATCAAATTGAAAGAATACAGAAACGAGCTCTTCGCATGCTCTACCCAGAGGAACGTTATGGTGACGCGTTAAAATTAACAGGCCTACAATCCTTGGCGGATCGAAGAGACAGACTATGCAGAGAACTTTTTAACTCAGTATCGATTAACAATAACCATAAATTAGCGGATTTACTACCACCACTAAATTCAAATAATATAAATCTTAGGTCCACTTCAAAATATGACTTGCCGGTTTTGAAGACCAATCGTTTTAAAGACAGTTTTATTAACTATTACGCTTCAAAAGTTCAACGATAAGACTCTAATAAATATTTTTAGTAGATATTTTTAATATAATTCATATTCTTAATATAATTCATACATATCGATATTCGATATTCTAATGTAAGTTTTAGTATTGCATGCATAATAGTTAGTAGAAGTAGGATTTAAATTACTTTGTAATTGACACGTAATTCAGTCCCCGGACTGCGATGTGAAAATTTTAATAAACTTTTCCTCTCTCTCTCTCTCTCTGCCGTTCGGTTGGCTTCGCGTTACTTTGTTTTAAATACCTTGATCGCGTTATTAAAAGAGTTATTTCTCAGCCCAGAAACATAGCCAAAAGACTTAACATTAACGTCCTTGTGATTTTATTGCGATAGAGCCAGAACTGAGGATTCTAGAAAGCTTTATCTATACCTTCTCTGAAGTTGTAGACAAGATATGTTGTTTACGTTCAACACGCATAATATTACATAACTCAAAATGATTCGAGAAAAACCGGTCTTTTGTTAAAAGGAAGACGGGTTAATATAAATTGGTATTTTTGAGTGACATAATCGTTTGTCGTCATCGATCCGTGTCGTTGAACAATGAAAAAAGTTGTCGTAAAATTAGTGAAGATAAAATTGCAGTTTGCGAGAAAACTGCCAGGTCTACGCCCTACGGAGCGGAAACTTTTCGGATTTGAACTCAGCGTGTTCGAAAGTGTTAGTTCCCGTAAAAATATTTCAGTTTCAAGACATGGGAAATGAAAGTGAACGGTATCGGGACGCAGCAAACGGCCTAGTGTACGTTAGATTCTCATAAATGTCTTGTGCCATGAACAGGGACGTAGCAACCTAACATCCCTCCAATACTTTCTTATGAGTAATTCCAGGTAAGCAGGTAAATGTCCAGGTGATTCTTTCTGATTTCAGGTCATTTTGCGATAATCCGAATGTACTAACATATCCTTTCTAATATTATGTACTCATGAGGAAACTACACTAAATTTCAGAAACCGCTTTAGCGTAAATAGACCCCTCCCCCCCCCCCCCCCCGGACGACAACGTATTCGCTGCGTTGCTGCCATGAACAAAGAGGTGGCTGCATCCTATACTGTTGTTTGGCTATGAACGTACACAAGGTTCGTGTACAAGGTAATGAAGCATGAAATTGTTTTTACAACAGCACGAGATGACAACTCTTCCCCATGGTGTCAGTGTTATCATCCCACGGGCGTGCATACATGTCCAATACTGTCGACATGATGCGGATCGTGAAGCAGCTTCACGATCCGTCAAATTCGTACGGACGGTAAACACGAGTCACGATCCGTATCAACTCGTAAACGCAATAGGTGGTCTCCAATAGCAGATGCTTGTTGCCCAAAAGTGTACTCTTTACAAAAGTGTACTCTTTCATCCTTATCTTCGAATTCTATTATTTTACAGTTCATATTAATTGTTTACAACTTTGAGTTTTGCGGTTCATTGTCGATGCTTTGTAAGCTTTATATAAAAAAGTTTATAAGGATCTTCTATATAGTTTAGTGAGTCTCGGGGTATACAAAATCGATAGATAATTTACAACTAACGCTAGCTTGCCCGTATTATTTGACTGGTCGCGACGAGTTTCAACTGAAAGAGACTCAGACGTATCTATGTTTTTACTGTTAGAATTGCTTTGCATTTCAACCTCGGTTGAGATAACGACACAAAAGATAGTGCTAGTAATTACGAGATTGGAATGGCAGTATGGGGAAAACAGTTCATAACAGACAATTTCAATCATTAACATCCACTATAACATGATGAAACAAGGCTTTCTTTATACCCAACATATGGTCCCGCATATCGTTTTGTTTTCGTGGCTTTCCCTGATATATTAATCTTATCAAGGCTTGATGAAGCTTATCTTATAAAATATAAATATGACCCAGATATGTTTGGCTTTTATCTCAGTTGAGCTTTAATTACTTTTCTTACATGTAAATATATTTCTCGACGTGAAGCCGTCTTCCTCATTGTACGCATTAATAAAATATGAAAATAATCATAATAATATACACCACCACATTTGCTTGAAAAGGCATTGAATGAATGCCGCTGCAAAGGCTGAATTAAGACTAAAAAAATTTCGTGGAGTAAATACTGACAAAATATGGATTTTCCCGATAATGAGGTTCGTCGTTATTTTAAATTTAAATGTTTGTAGTATTATATCTGAATATTATATGGCTCTTTTTTCTTTATATCTATGCATTCATGACTCAACCAAACTTACTTTATACTTACACTAGACAAATCTATCGCTTCCCGAAACTCTTACCACCATATAATTTGTTTTCTGGCGCTGCATAGAATAGATCGAAACCTCATGAAGATGCATGAGTTCGAATCCCGCTCGAGATAACCTTTTTTTTTCCTTCTAATATGGGATAATAAATATGAAACTAGTTTTTCATATCACCGAGGATGATTCTGAAATATAAATGTGGACCAACTAACTCAAAACGTTGCAGCGCTTCTAAGTATTTGAAAAATTTAAACCAGTTAGGATCGAATTCTAGATCAAAGTTATCTGCGAGTGAAAATGGAAAAATCGCGCCGCGTTGTTGATCCCTTTCGGTGCGTCTGGGCCTTAAGCCCGTTCTTCATCATTCACGTAAGCGACGTTTTTCTTTGTCGCCATCCAGGCTCGTTGGTTCCCAGGGTTTTCGCGATATGGCGCGCGGCTAAGGCAGAAATCTCCAAGATTCTTGGAAGTATTAGTCTGCTTAATTAGCGCTGTATGGCGCTTACAAATTTTTGTTCAGGCTCATACTTTTACGATAGTTATTATATAGTTAAAATTAATTCAAATCTTTTGTACTGCACCTTGATAGCTGATGGCGGTGACGCTGTCATCAATCAATATAATTTCATATCCAACGCTGTCAGTGTTTGCCATTGTCATTCAGTTGCATTTGAAGCCTATACCAGCATGCATCTGATTTCCGTAGGATAATTCTTCTATAACTGTAGAATTAAAATAACTATATCTAACTTTTAAAAACCTATATACACATTCGATAAGGCAATATATCATCGTTGACGTTCCTACCTTCGGTAGGATAATAATGTGTGGAAATAATCGCGATAATATCGAAATATTGCTCAACTGTATCACAAATTTTATTATAGAGTTCCGGACTCCGGCGGTTCGGGACTTCGGGCGAGCTTTTTAATACGGTTGTCAATGACATTGACTGTTGCCTGTTTTGAAGGAGTTGTCTAAAGCAAAGGAGGAAGATATAAGCGAACTTAAGCAAACCTCAACCTAGTACGGGGACGTGACAAGAAACCGCCTTAAATTTTACACGTTTATAATTATAAAGAACTACCGTTGTTAAGAACTTCAACAAGCAGGACGAAAGTGAAACGAGAACAGCTAATAATATCATACTAATGCAAGAAAGTGAGCAGAAATTAATAATTAAAATCCCACGGACGTTTTAAACGTCGCCGTAGCTCTGTTTTACAACGGCAAAATACAGATTATCACGTCTTGTGTACAACGCTTACATTTCAAACTGGGAAACTGCTATTTTAAATTGGGTCCTAGAACTCTTCTCAATTATAAACCCAGTGTTAATTTTAATCCTTAAACTGAATTATTTTTCATACGATGGATAATAAACGACAGGTTTTCTTCTGCAATCATTTGGTTCAACGAGTTTGTTTGCCGTCGCCGTTGCGTGACGGGGTCCTACATGCTTAAGGTCGCTATAGTCACAATACGGGACCTATCATGCAGCCAAAACAATTTAAAGATGTGAACAATTAATGTTAATTGGAAGGTGACAGCTACAGTAAAAATACAAAAAGTGTCCCACTTCTGCTTCTGTAGTTTGCTGCATGTGATTTACTGTAATTTGTTCGGTTTTTCTGTAGCGATGAGCTATTTATGGGAAAATACTGCGATAAAATTTATATTTCGTCCCTTTTATGCAATGAAACAAACGAAAAATGTATTATTTCCCTTTGCTACAAATTATCATATTTAAAAATAGAGAAAACTAAGTTTTATCGCGGTATTTGCCGATAAATCTGCAATCGCTACAGAAAAACAGAACAAATTACAGTAAATCACAACAAACTACAGAAGCGGAAGTGGGACATTTTTTGTATTTTCACTGTAAAAGGAAACCGAGAAGACAAGACTCCATACAAAATTCTCGTTTTATTAATAGTAATACTTTTACTAAATATCAATCAAGATTTAGAAAGGGGTATTTAACGCTGACGGTCTTTTTTATGTGTTACAAATGAATGGTTATGCAATATTACATGACAAAGGTCTCATTAATGCTGTACTATTTCTTGATAAAGAATTAAGGCTTTTGATACAATAGATCATGAGATTCTTTTTATGAAGCTAAAATACTATGGGTTTCAATTTTTATTGTGGATGAAAATATACTTATACATAATACAAAACAAAATTGTAAACGAACGATGTGGTATACCCCATGGGTCGAATCTTGGCCGCCTTCTATTTTTAATTTATATTAATGATCTCCCAAGCTGTTTGGATGAATCTATTCCCAGCATATTTGCTGATTACACTCGATTTAGATTGATCAAATTGGTTAAAAAGTGAAGTTCAGAAATCAATATAATACATAAAAGATTAAACTGCAAATAAATTAACACTAAATACAACTAATACACCTGAATTCATAATAATTTGATTAATTAACGCGTTCGCAAAATCAAAAGTTTGGAGGACTCATTATAGTAAGATGATACGTTGATTGGAAAGAGCACATTCATTTGACACTGTATGTAAAAAAGCGTCAAAAGCAATAGGAATATTATACGGCTATGAGGGACGTCCTCACGTCGCTACGGGGAGAGGAAGTTGGGTGGGGGGGGGAGGGAGGGGGGAGTGTAATACCTCCAGTAATTTAAAAGTTCAAAAAGTTAGTAAAAGTGGAAAATATTTTGTCAAAATAGTTCGTAGCTTGTTGGATTTTGAAATTGGTTTACATTGTCAACTAACTATGGTAGTACTAAAAAATACAAAGGAAAAGAACTATTTCGACTCGCGCGAACTTTTCGCCTTGTGAAAAACCGCGTGAATTCACATAACATGAATTTAGACTCATTTTGTATTTACAAAGCAAGCCGCCAGTTTGTTTTTTTCAAATCATTAATTGCATGTATTCCTGGTGAGTGCAATTAATGAAACAATTGCACTCCTCTTAACCAATCAGATTGCAGTAATTTTGTCAAATATATAATAAAACACGCATAACAGTGAAACTAATCTATAATATTTACAACGCCTGAAAAAGTTAAAAGTCGAAAAAATCCATTAGTGTTCTAAGTACTGAGAAGCCCTAGACAATCCAGTGTCTGAAATTGTGCCTGGGAGGTTAAACAAGGATTCAGAAGAAGTAGACCACACCCAGCTGAGAACCTATAGTACATTGATGTACCAAAAGATGATACCGGTTTAGATAGCACATGCAGAAGAACATATAGATTTTATACGTTATAAGAAAGCATTTATGCCATATGAAACGCTACAAAATCAATCGAAGATCTATTTTGTATAAATTGTAGATATTTACTAAATTGTAGTTGTATTCATTACTTATTATTTTTTTCTCAAATGTAAATAGTCGTAATCCTTAATACTTTTTATGCCTGTAAATATCAAAATAGTGCGAGGGCCGTATGTTAGATAACTTTTACGGTTAATACGTTTTCCCTCGTGAAATAAAGTTTCTATTCTATTCTATAAGTCACTCGATATGGGACAACTGTGGAAGCTTGCTGAAAGAGAAGCAACAAAAATTATAAAATGAGACAGCAAGAAATATGACAGGCCCTTGAGACAAATATGCATGTCTTGCCATGGGATAATCTGAACGATAGACATATAAATTTAATAATTCAGTTTTGGTTTATAAAATATTGAAAAACCACTCCGCCCCAAACCACAAAAATAGATTTATTCCGAGGGAGACAAATCTAAATAGTTATAATCTTATGCCCATACCTATCTTTCAATTCCCAAGCCTAATGTTAAATATTTAAAAACACTTTATGCATAGCGGGGGGGAGTGTACATGCAAAGGCTGAACAATGATTAACAGATTCAATTGCTGTGAGTCAGGCGTCATGTATTTTCGACTTTTAACGTAAAACTTTTAACTACCTTTTATAACCACTGTTTTGTAGTTAAATAATAATTAACTCTAAAATACGCAATTTTACTTGACTTCATAGGTTTTTCTTGTTAAATGCACATGAAATGTGCTCAGCAATTCCGTCTGTCCTCGTATCACATTTTTGGCAAGTAACAGCAGATTTACTCCCTATATACCATTAATTTAAACGTTTTTGTTCTTCTTTTGTTCTTTGCAAAACCAGCAAAGTTTCCCGCCATCTTTTTCCTCAATCTTGTACCTTTACGTAATGGTCCTTGGTCTAGTAGCCAATCAAAATGCTGAATTGATAATGGTCCTTGGTTGAGTGTGTACTAATAAACATGATCGTGGCAATATCAATGGCCTTGTATTCCTTGACTTAAAAAAGGCACTCGATACAGTTGACCATTCCATCCTATATTATCTAAGCTAAATTTGTAGTAATAGATTACACCTTTGACACCTTGAATTGGTTTAACTCGTATCTAAAAGACCACAGAATTTAGGAACACATGAATTTGCTTTAACCACCTTGATTTGTTCACTAGTTCTATTCGTTTTCTCTGTAAGTCTGCATTGAGATTTTAGAAGACGGTGAGTAAATGGAGGGTGGGAGATTTTTCTTTTTTCGGTACTTATATGGGTTCCCCAATCAGTCTAAATAGAGGCGCTGGGGACAAAATAGACGAAATACGGTAATATCACTTAAACCAAGCCTGGAGTTACAAATTCCTTAACCTATATTTTGTATATTATTGTTAATGTTTAAGGGTTTCGAAACTATGTGCTTCTGTGACCCATAATGGCCATACATGTACGGCTTTTTTCCTCCGTTGCTGTAAATATTCAATTGTTCCTATACTTAATTCTCTAAGTCCATTTATAATTTATATGTTTCTGTATTTTCCTGTGAATAGTATGAAATACATGCTGTGTAATGTTTTTAGGTATTGACGGATGGCGAAAAGCAGGATCACATTGAACAAGACCTGGACGAAAAAGAGCGTGCAGCTCAGACAAGTAAGAAAATCTTGCAAAAGTTCGTCTCGAACTGGACAACGTATACTCCAAAACGACACATGCACAAACAGCTCAAGAATTATCAAGAGCAACAGTTGAAGGAGATTCCTGGGGCTTCCAAAAAGACTGGTACCGTCATGCATGCGGCGCTGACCAGTGAGATCGATAGCGAAGATTATAAAGTGGACGGGCGACCGATAGAGACGGGAAAGCGTGTTCGAAATCACGCATTAATACATTACATAGCGAAGTTGGCCGTCTCGAATCACGATAACGATACTTTTGATTTCGAATTCGTTCAGAGTTTGCTCAAGAACGGCGCGGATATAAACGCGACGGACAAATACGGTCAGACTGTGTTTCATGAAGTAGCGAGGTCGTGGCACGCTGATGTCGCCGAGTTTTTAATAAGAAATGGTAATAAATCCTATTGCTATATAATAATGGTAATAAATCCTAGTGACATCTTGTCCCTTGGTGCTTGTGATGTTACTCTGAGTGCATATCCACACCAGGCAAGCTTGAAAAATATGCCTGACCACGGTGGGAATCGAACCTACGACCTTTGGAATACTAGCCCAATGCATGCGCTGCCAACTGAGCTACGCGGTCTGGTCGGTTCGAGTATGTGATATTTCGGAACAGAATCTACTTCCTTCGATATCAATGTTATCTAATAATAATCATGATTTTTTTCTGTGTTGGTGTAATGTACTCAGGTGAATGTGATGCTTGTGATGTTACTCTGAGTGTATATCCACACCGGGCAAGCTTGAAAAATATGCCTGACCACGGTGGGAATCGAACCTACGACCTTTGGAATACTAGCCCAATGCGCTGCCAACTGAGCTACGCGGTTTGGTCGGTTCGAGTATGTGGTATTTCGGAACAGAATCTACTTCCTTCGATATCAATGTTGCCTAATAATAATCATGATTTTTTTCTGTGTTGGTGTAATGTACTCAGGTGAATGTGATGCTTGTGATGTTACTCTGAGTGTATATCCACACCGGGAAAGCTTGAAAAATATGCCTGACCACGGTGGGAATCGAACCTTCGACCTTTGGAATACTAGACCGCGTAGCTCAGTTGGCAGAGTATTGGGCTAGTATTCCAAAGGTCGTAGGTTCGATTCCCACCGTGCTCAGGCATATTTTTCAAGCTTCCCCGGTGTGGATATACACTCAGAGTAACATCACAAGCATCATATTCACCTGAGTACATTACACCAACCCAGAAAAAAATCATGATCTTGTCGCTTGTTACTTTGATTTAAGTCTGGATTTAAGTAAATTAATGGTCATCGATGAAATTACACTCACGTTGGGTCACGTCGCATCATCACTCCTGTATTGGACTATTTTTCCCGACTGATACAAAGTTTCTACTGTTTTTCCATATTCAACGTTACCGGCTACAGCTATGTATTCCTTAAGTATCTCTTAAAGTCCAGAGAATAACGGGTGTCGTGTGTAATAGAATCTGAATATTGAAAGTTTTTTGTATATAGAAATTATGCAGATGGTAATTTCGAGAGCAAAGTATATACAGTTTAGACCTAACCAGAAGCAACTGTAAAAAATGCAACTATTTAACAATTAGACAACGAGGCCGAGTTTGTCTATGAGCGAATAGTCAACGAGGCGAAAATTAGTATAAACTTTAACATTAATTTACAACTAGGCTGCAAACACAATACAAAAATACACAAAAAAACATTATAAAACCATTAAAGGTAAACAAATATTTTAGTTTTTGTTCGCGTAAAATGTTTTACAAAATTCAGTTTTAATTTTAAAATTTCATTGAGTGTATGTTATTTTGTCTATTTTCTTACCCTTAAAAATTGCCATTCCATATTTTTGTTGCTTTTTTCGGGGGTTTTAGTACAGAATTGTTTAACAAGCCGCCATTTTGAATTTTCTATTAGTAGGTTATCACTAATAGCCTACTAGTAGCGTAGCCAATCAGAAGGCACGATATGTGATAGCCTACTAGTAGGTTTACACTAAATATATATATATAGGCCGTCTGGCAGGACTCGAACCCGTGGCCCTGCGATTCCGGTGCAGTGCTCTAATCAACTAAGCTACATAGTCCAGTTGTCGAAGCTTTAGCCTCCTTTTCGCTTTCTGGTCGGGTTATATATATCTGATTCAACACCGCTGCTCATGCTGTAAATATTATGATCTACACTCGAAATTTCCATCTTCAAAAACCCTTAGACATTTAGTTCTATCGAATGAGATGCCCAAACTCTTGTAATAGAATCTGATTGTCTCTTTTCTCACAGGTGCCAACATGAATCAGCAAGATAAATATGGTCGCGCACCACTGCACGTTGCAGCCGCAGTTGATTACGTTGAGATGGTCGAGTTCCTGGTCACCAAGGGAGCTGATGTTAATATACGTACTACAGGTGAAGAACAAACACCCATCCATTTTGCAGCCAAGAATGACGCTTGTAAAAGTTTGAAGGCTCTGGTCGCTTATGGAGTGGACGTTAGTTGTAGAGATTACCAAGAGAGAACGCCTCTGCAGGTAGCGCATTTTTCTGTTTCACATTTACCTTATGTTCAGATTTACCTGTCTGTTACCCTCTGGAAAATGATGGCTCAATTTTCCTAAGGGCATAATCAGTTGTCATCCTAAGTTAGATTTCTGCAATATTCAGTTGCCTGATACTGAATTTGACCTCAGTCGCACGAGGAAAGAGCACTTACAGTTTCACTCTACCATTACGCCCCGACTCTACGTACCAAAGTCCGTACGATTCCGGGATACGCCGGTTTCCTCCGACAATATATCGAAATAAGGAAAGGCCCTTATTGGAATTTTAAGAAGAACAGGTTGATAAAACTAGTTTAGTGTCATCTCTAATTTTATGCCTTTTCAATCTCTAGCTCTCTGCAGCGATGAGTAGATCAAAAGCTGCTCGATTGTTGATCGACCTTGGTATCCCGGCAGGCGTCTACGACAAGGATGGCGAAATGGCCGTCTCTTTGCTCGTTATTAAAATGCCAGATGTCGCCAAACTTGCTATGGATCAATTTTACTCGGAGGATCACATCAACAACAAGCGATACTACTTCCTAAACTATCTGGAAGGCAGCCGCGTGGTTGACGGACAATCGTCAGCACGCACACCCCTGGAGGCTGCTGTGGCCAGCAATAGTGTGAATATTATCATGCATCCCGTGATGCAATGCCTGGTTGCGACGAAGTGGGAGAGGTTTGGTCGCCGTTGGGCGTTGTTCGATTTTATCTTGAACATGGTCTCTGCAATAATCTGGACCTCTATGGGTGTGACCTTACCTGTAGATCATAACTTACTGTATAACCCACCTCGTGAAAAGTGGTGGCGAATGGTTTTAGCTTGCTTGGCACTCCTGTTAACTTTCTATGAACTACTAAGGCAGGTTGTTATAACAATCCGCAATAATCGTTCCCTTACACAATGGAAAAATTATCGTACGAGATCGTTGTCGCGTGATAAACCCTTCTGTCATCCACAATGGCCTGACGAAGCAAGATACGTTGACAGTGAAATAAAAAGCGTCCACGAACACCGTTGGCTTGCAACGCACGATCGTTGGGTCTACATGGACTGGTTGGCACTTTCCCTCATCGTTGCCTCGGCAATTTCCCACGTGGTGTTCTTCTGGCAAGGTACGCCAGGAGCACACACTGTTCACGTGCGTATCATGTGCGTGCTATTGATTGTCATCTGGGTGCGTATACTGAAATTTGTGCGACCGTTTCAAGGCACTGGTGCATTTGTGGCGTCCTCCACCAGGATGCTGGGTGATATCTTGCTCGCTCTGTTCTTGGTCGTCATTATATTTTTGCCTTATGCTTCCTGTTTTTGGATGCTGTTTGGTGGACTCAGTCCGTCTCCTGCATTAGGTTTCAGAACGATGCCTGCTGTTTTGTACGAGGTAAGTCATTATAGTAACAAAGAACTTTCCAGGTTAAGTTTATGCAATCTTGAAATATATTGTGCTCAATCCACCTGAATTTAAGAGATACACCAAAAGGATTTTAGGTTTTGAACACACTTCATCGCAAAGACAAGACATGGAGAAAATTAAATTGCCCCACAAAAGAAAATATATATCTCAGGAGACTGGGAACTGTCCGGAATAGTGGGAAACATTGAGATTCGAGTGGAAAGAAAACTAAATATTTCCCGAGCGAACAGACATTAAGTGTTTTGTTATATAGCGCCGAAAAACAATTTTAATCAACAACATTTATGCAACAATTGTAATTCATGACAAAACCTCTGTAGAGTAAACGAGTTTAAAATTAAAAGAAACTACTTAATAAACGGTTTCAACAGCATATCTTGTTGCCTGTCGTGTATTTTTCTTCTCTTTTACATTTTCTTTATTTTAACACAAACTTAAATCGTAGTTTATAAACTTACCAGTTGTGCTGACATTTTGTTTATTTATGTACGTAGCCGGTCTGGGCGGGCAACAATTTTTCTCTTGTCGGCCGACGGGATACATTGCATTTTTTAAAGCCACGTGACAATAAATAATCCAATCACGTTTGGTATATTCACCCTGGCTATAATTATAATTATAATGATTGTTTTTGTGATTGCTTATGTATTGTTTTTATCTCTAGGTATTCCAAATGACTGTATTAGATACGAACCACAGCATAGAGTCATTCTTGAAAGTGGATCCTTTCATGGCTAGACTGTTATCATGTAGCTATGTCTTCATTTCATTCGTAATCGTCCTCAACTTAATCATAGCAATGATCACAGATACTTTCAAACGCGTGTTCAGGTACGCGCAAGAACACGCCGCGATAGAACGAGCCAAGACCATCTTAAACATCGAAGATTCTATGCGCGAAAAGTCCAGAAAGCTTTATTGGGAATATATCCGTAATCACTGTAGTCCGCTGCCTATGAGTCGTCTGAATAGACATGGTCGAACAATATTTTCAGAAATGGTATTGTATTATATTTTTGTTTATTAATTATCGCCCATAACCATTTTGTCTATTAATTATTGCCCATACATTTATGATTCTCAATAATAACACAAGACTGAGTAAAGGTCAGGACCCTTTTAAAGAATTCGTCAGTGTGGGGACATGAAGGAAAAGGGACTTGTTTATCCACACCAGGCAAAGACCGTAAAACGATTGAATAATATGAAGTAAATTCACAGGAAAGCTGACAACCCTCTTTGGGGGGGGGGGCATGCCCCCCAGGACATGTTTAGAACTATAAACCCGGAGAAAGAACTTGCATCAATTTCCTACAATGATTTTGTTTGTGGTGATCATGTGAGTCACCTGATGAAAGGCAGAATGAGGTATATTTCTGAAAACGCTTGTCTAATGTAAATGAAATAGTAGAGTCTGAGATTCGTGTAGTTGATTATAGTATCTCCCCATGCACGCGCATGACTGAAGAAAAACAACGACATAAGGTTAACTGTTCCTCTGCTCTGAAAAATGATATGTTACGTACACGTATGCTTGAAAGATGAGTTTTCACCTCACTTAGTTGAACTGGAATGCTGGATTTGGTGGATAATCCAAGTATATGCACCCAATTTAAGACCTAACCAGGAATGGTTGCAAAAAAGCAACACTAGGTCTTCTGGCAAAAATTGAACCCACGACCCTGTGATTCTGGTGCAGCCCTCTATACTGCCGAGGCAAGTTGTCGAGCTGTAACCGCAAGTTCAAATATATATTTTTGGGTGTGCGGGTTGTGAAAAAGTGAACTTGATTTACTTGAAGGATATCAGATGTGTTTTGCACTTTACTTGCTTGCCTATCGTTTCCTATGGCTACTTTTGCTTAATACGTAATAGCTATGCCTGCATGTCATTGTGGAATGGCGCATTATCGTACAGGCATGTGGATTTGTTTCTTTAAATAGGTGTACGTCTTGTGTTATATTCACGAATTTCCTTATTAATTACGAAATTTATGTTTATTTCAGGTACATATGAACGATCGAATCCGAGAAACGCATCAGCTTGTTGAAGCACGCTTCGGAAAGCAGTTTGGAGAAAATAAAAAATCCACCATGGAGGATATGATGAAATTTGCGAACGAAATCGTCACAAATTACTCCGAATCTAAAAAGATGTTAGAAACGGTTTTTCTAGAGTTGAGATTACTAGAAGAGCTGGTAATGCCTAAAACAAAGACCATTGACCAATTTCCCGAGAATGATACGAAATCTAGGAATTTCATTCCACCGGATGATCAATTTGATTCTGCAAGTGATACTGGGCTTAATCATGCACGATCAATTGAAGCATCTTCAAAACGAAGATATTCGATCAAAAGCGAGCCTGGCGACATTAAACAACGGATGAAACAAAAGCTCAAGTCAAAAAGCAAGTCCGCCAGTCAGATAGGAGTTCGCGACAAGTTGAAGAAAGATCGAAGTGCGCTAAAGAAGAGGTCCAAAGGTAGGCATGCAGAACTTTTTAAACTTTTATTCCACACAAAATGCGAAGTTCAAACTTTCAATTCGCGCTGCTCTATAATTTGACAGTATTAAATTTATTTAGATGTACATTGAAAAGATCGAGAATTTTTAGAACAATTTTTGTGCGAATTTCAAATCAACACAGTCCATTGAATAAGAGTGCGGGAAATTATTATACAAGACATGTTGCAATTCTTCCAAAACAGGACTATTAATTTGTCTATTTAATTTATATTCCGCTAAGCAGAGGTTTAATATTTTGTAAATATTAACGGCCCATTGGAAATCAACTACCTGGGTGTGTTGAAGAGTTACCGTTTTTAAATAAGAGTTAATAAATAAATAAATATACTCTATGATTAATGTGCGTTTATAGCAGGGTGTAAAATTGTCAAATAATCAAAAGTGCTAATGATATGATTTTAGATGTGGTTAGTCCACACCGAGCAAGCTAAAAAATGCTTGGCCGCGGTGGAAATCGAGTCCGCGACCTTTTGTTCGCTCGTCCAATGCTCCACCAGTACTAGTAGAGTTAGAAGACCAAGTTAGTTCGACTACTCGATTTATAGTAGTGAGTTCAATTTTTTCCCTTGATGTGTTGTGACTGCGTGTTGGAATGATTCGAAACTATACTAATAATAGCCTATACATTAAAAATATTACTCGACTGTGATTGGTTGATTTCAGTGCAGTTAATCTCAAACTGCGGTGCAAAATTCTGTAACAACAGTGCAAAAATCTGTAACAAAAATCTGATTGGTGGAAAAACAATGGGAAGATTGAATCAACCAATCAGCTTAAAGAAGTTCTAAAATAACGGTCACAGATTGGTTCAAAACAAAACAAATATAACGCCGCGCTACATAAAGTTCGGGTGGAAAATATGGCTTTATCTTTTTTAAATGGAAAAGACTTTACCTTAAACAAAACTAACAAAACTTACATGGTTGAGTGGAATTTTAAAGCCGTTAGCGTTGTATAATGTGATATAACAAAGCAGGAAAACGTTGTCAGTGGACGGTTAAATTCTTTGCATCAACGTAAAGTTGATTATCTCGAACATTTTCATGTATATTATTAATCCGTAATAGGATGGTTTCTCGTGAAATTTGGATAAAACAAGCACTCGTGAGTTTTTCAAAGACCTCAAAATTAATAGCACTCGTCCTTCGGACTCGTGCATGTTTTATCCAAATTGCACTCAAAACCATCCGATTACCTAATACTTATACAAACCCTGCAGGTGGGGAAGAGGAACACCAAGAGAGATATGAAGAAAATGTAGATGAAGAGAGAGATGTCGTTCGAAGAAGGACGAAAAGTAGAAGCAAGTCTGCTGGAAATATCGGTAGAATTGAACCAAAAGAAAAACACCGCAGTAAGTCTTCCTCAACCAAAGACATTTCACGGAGGAAATACACCACTCGTGATTATGATGATTAATATAGAAGTTGCATTTTCAATGTTACACTGCAAGAAATGACTGAGTATTTTTACTCAACACCTTGATGAGAAAAAATAATACACCCAGGGTGACACAAAATTTTGAGTAAAATTACTTCATATGTATGCAAAAATTGAGTAATTTTACTGAAAATTTTAAGGCATTATGGGTGCATTATTTCAGACAAGTTTTTTGTCTGGGTCAAAGTTTTTGCAGTGTAGAAAACTCTTTAAGCTGTATACGAAAGAGAATGACTAAAATTTGGCTTTAAATAACTTTTTAATTAATTTAAGGTAATTTCTCAGTTTTGCAATTGCGCCTATTTACCGCACCAGGATGATATTTGGTGAGGAAATTAATGTTTATGTAAATCAGCATGATTTCTGTATCAGATATATAAACTCCTTCACCCTCATGATTTCTTTTGTGTTTCTTCATGAATTATTAATGCCTCTTACAATTTTACGTGTCAAATAAAAAGAGAATAGAAAACACATTCCCACAACTGAGGGTCAAGATGGTACATTGTTAGAAATGGATGGTATATTTATATTGCCCTTGTCTTATCTTCTAAACAAGTTAATTGAGTGACCCCAACTTTTTCTGATTTTTAATTCAATAAGCAAATTATAAACTTGAAGCTTGAAACGTTTCAGCAAATTCTTATTACTGAGAATTACTGAGGATTACCTTAAGTTGAAAACAATAAAAAGATAATGATAATATTTATTAGATTTCGAAAATTAACATGTGTTGTAAAAGTGTTGTAAAACCATGCAAGTAATGGTGATAGATTTAATATTCCATTTCATGAAGCCATATTTGGGTATAAGAATACTGAGAGATTATATACTGGTCAAAGGTCAAATTACCAATGTTCCCAAATACTCTTCCAAGATGAAGTATCATGAATTAGAAACCGATGAACAAATTATTGGAGCACTGAAACAGTGAAATGAATAATATGGAATGCTATACCTCCAACCGAATATTTGAAGCCAAACTTGAAAGCCAGTCTAAGTCTTTTCACGCATGTGAAAAGCACGATCAATCCGACAACATGAATACGTATTCTTAAAAATCCGCTTAAAATTTACAGAAAGAAGAGATTTTTAACAACGCTGAAAATTATCTATTAATTACTCAGGTAAAACCTTCTAATATACTTTACTTTTAGTTTATTTCTCATTAAAACGGCATGCTTGCTCCCTGTACTGGTCTCGCGAGAGAATCGCGGAGTATACTAAACACGCATGTCTTGACTGGTCCCAGACATTTGGTTGGCTGCAAGAAAAGGATAGGCAGTTCATCTGAACGTATAACGTTTCAGTTCTATTCATTTCACTGCACTGAAATAATCAGCTACTGAGATAAATATGAAGGTATGTTATTGGAAATTCTATACTATATATGTATAAGCTTCACAATAAAGTAAAATTTAACCTTTACGTTTCGTAAAACGTTTCATCTGTTTTCCTTCTCCAGTGCAGAAACAGTATAATTAAATCATGAGAGATAACACTGCTCTGAAAGAATGTAAGGAAATAATATTTCATTACATCAATTCTTTTGCTTGAATGACAAATATAGCTGTGTGTCATCAGCAAAGTCATGCATGAGCATCCGAAAGGTGAGTAGGAACAATCTCAAACGACTTTGATGCATACATTATGAAGAGAAGCGGACCTAAGCATGACCTCTGGGCACACCACACTGCAGGTCAGAGCTGTCAGATTTCGCACCATTCAAAGAAATGTGTTTACTTTTTCCGGATAAGTAGGTACTTATTTAACGTTTTTCTTACATCTTCACATGCAGAGTCTAGAAAGTAGACCATAACAGTCATGAAATATTGTATAGTAGGTGCCTGTATATAGTGTGTGTGGTGTTTCAGGCATTTGGCGCTTTAGGTGGTTCATCATGCTCTATGGCCGTCCCTGAAAAGCCCCCCTTGTTGAAATTTTAGGACTACATCACTGAGTCATACAACGTATGAACGATAATGCAAGCAATGAAAGAACCCCTACGAGTTATTTCAATATCCAAATTCTTAGTTATTTTTGGGAAACAATTAAAACAAACAGTTTATAATAAGTTCCCAAATTTTATTTTGTCTAAACTCTCTTTTGAGGAGCAGATGAAATTCCGTTTAGTATGAATTTATTGACTAGTTGAGCTTAATTATATAATTCGACAACAATGCCGGGTTTGGTGGATAATCCAAGTATACAAAATCTAAGACCTATCCAGGAAAGGTTGCGGAAAATGCAGCACTAGGTACTCAGACAGGAATCAACAATATAATTTGAATGATTTCATCATTTTTGAACAGTTAGCTTAATGACTTTCAAGAGACTGCCACCATATTTTACTCGCTTGTAATGTCATGCATAAATTTATTTCAATTACATATTAATCAAACTAAAATGTAGTCGTAGGAACGAGAAGAGGTAACCTATAATGAGTAATTTGTTCTACAATTTCACACGTTGTTTCTGCCTAAAATGCAGACTTAAATTTCGTTTGCCATTAGTGATTCTCCAGTTTCATGGCCATGCCTATGAGCAAATATCACAGCAAATATGACTGGTTAGGTAGATACCACGGACATACGGGCACCCGGACAGGCGGAAATTAACTAATTCAATTCAAAAATTGATTACGACAACTATATAATTTATTAGATTGATATATACGGTGCAATGATATAACAAGTTGAATATAATGCAGAGTATACGTAGTCAATGATAATGGCTGGTTAAAGACGCACAAATTTTATGTCTTTGGTTTATAAATATTTAAACATCACAGTTTAAAGATTCTGCCAAGTCTAAGCATGCATGATTAAGTTCTTTTGATAAAATGCTGTCTTTTGGTCGTGTGCCTCATGGACGCTAGTTAGACATTAGGTAGCTTTACGCGTTATCACAAATATGTACTATTTCTAAATCTACTTTATATACGCACTGTATTCATTTACTGAACTAAAATATATCCAAATGCTGCAGCCAGTTTTTTTCCATTGTCATTATCACTACACTGCGCAATATTACCACATGTAATGTTAGATGTTATATAACAAGCAGCGTAGGTAATACCAAATCCAATACATGAATCTGCCTGTGTGCAACGGTCGTCGTTATTCGCGTAATATCCAATACGTACTTTGAATGCATTATATGCAATGCTGAAACCTTCTTCATTGCAGTTTGGCTGTAAAGACGAGCCCGCGATCAGAGACTTCCATGCAGGTCGTCCTGCGGTTGTGTTTCGGTATTGTCCGTCTGCGATCACACTATACAGCGAACTTGCTTCGTAATGTAACATCATCCATTTTCTGTCACCATTAACGGTCATACCAAGACATATTTTCTTAAAAGGAGTGTTCCAATAAGATGCCAGTTTACTTTCTTTCTCTGTTAGCCCTTCAAGTCCATCTTCAACTGCATAACTTTCCTTGTTCGTCCACAATGGTGAATGATATGTAAATGTACTCTGTTTAAGAAACAGAGAACAAGTTAAGTTTACCAAGAGCAAAGACGGAATGGGGAAACATGAGGTTCGACTATCAAGTATAGTTTTTCATTTTAATTATCTAAATAAAGATGTCCGAGTAGATCTTGGTCAGCACCTTGATCAAGCAATTTTCATTACCATGTTAATTAAAAACATTTATATATGCGAGTAAAAGCACAACTGATCCTTTGAAGACGTGGGAGCTAGGCCGGTCATGTATTTTCTACAACGTCAAACTATTCCTTTTTGTCTTACCAAATCACCGTTTGTTTTCATCACAAGTGTCCATCCTCCTGTCCCACATCCGGAAATCTCAGCCATATGACAATAGACTGGATATTTTTCTGTGGAAGCATTCGATTGTGGAGAGTAGATGCCGTTTTGTAGAGAGCTGTAAAATAATGTTCAGTCCGTTAGGGCTTTTCAGAAATCTACAACGCAAACTTTTAAAACAATAATATTCCTAAACCCATTATCAACTAGAGGGCACTCAGAGACTGCATACCTCCGCCCCCATTGAATTTCGGCCGTGTGAAATGCAACTAAGACAATAGATAATGAGGCTGAAGCCTAATGAGGTTTTTTATCTCAATATTGTCTTAGTACTGCGTGCATCATTATACACGTCCTAATTACGCATTCAGTGAGGTTTTTTTTAATTGACCGGGAAAAGCAAGACAAAATTTTGTTCATTTCTCGTTCAATTTTTAACCAAATTCAACCAAATTTTAATCAGTTCTTCCTTAGCCGATGGGAAATGCATTAAAAAAATTTCGTATGAATATGTTTGGTTTTTCTTGAGTTCTCGTGCTTACAGACAAACACACACACATACATCAGCATACAAACACACACACACACACACACACACAAACCCAGATGATTACATAACCTCCTGACGGAGGTAATTAATTGGAAGGCGCACGGAGACTGCAACATTTATCATACAGTTTTACTCTGTCCGGCAAAAAAGGCAAAATTTCGCTAATTTCTCATCCAATTTTTATCCAAATTTAACCTAAATTTAATCAAGTCTTATATTAATAAATTAAGCAAAACGTAAAGGAAACAAACGTGTGCAGGTGTCCTCCTGCAGGAAGACTGCACCGATAAAGGACGGCTTTTATAGTTTATACCGTTGCATGTCATTTTGGAGAAAGATGCGGAACTGATGAGCTAACAGTATATGAATTTAGTTTAGGTTATATGCCTTTTATAGTAACAGTAAACCAACAAAAAATGAACATGGACATCTAAGGAAAGCATTAAGGAAATTTCCAGTATAGCACAAAATTAGTTTATTTCCATTGATCTTTTTCAATATAGGGTTATAATTTCAATATATTGGATTACCTGTCATCCTCAAGTAATTCTTTGCAGCTGCGTTTGCTGGCAATTTCTTTCGTCTTAGCTTTACTCTAAAGAGAAAACAGTGAACATTGACTGCATGGTGTTAATTTAAAGTAAAAATACCAAAATTGTTCTGCAAACAGGAACAGGATTTGGTAGCAGTCTTCGATTTTATTGCATTAGGAACAGGATTTGGTAGCAGTCTTCGACTTAAATTTTATTGCAGACTTTCTTTAATTGTATGAAAAAGTGCAGAAAGTCTCAGTAAAAGACTTAAATGACTTGATTGTCTCAGTAAAAGACTTAAATGAATGAAGTATTTGATTTTTACGATTCTCTAGCTGGTAAAATAGATCGTGGATTTCCGCAAGATTTTTACAAATATCGAAGAGAAGACGCATTCTAGGAGTGATTATCGGGTCAAGAAGGAGCGTACAGTTGCAATGTTTCAGCACATATTTGCTCTCAGAGGTCTTTGTGCACTTTGGCCATAGTAGTTAAACATAATCGGAGCACTTTTCCCCCAAACAGTGTGCATCGTAGTTGATTGTCTTGTTGTGGTCCAAAATATTCGCTTACGGCCGAATTGGTGCATGAAATGTCTCTGATAATAGACAAAAAAGTCTAGATTTTGAAGTTAAGTCTTTGAATTTGTGCGGTCTTTGAAACTACAAACCATGGGAAGTAAGCAATCGTATCGAGAAACATGGTTAGGAAACAATTTTTCTGGTTTGCCCAGCCGCTCTAGGCCTATATAGGACAGGCATATGCATGAACCACATTAACGCTATTCGAGAATATTACATACTATAGCTGGCCCCCATTTGTGATATCATAAAGAAATATCTTACCCTATTTAAAATAGAGAGATGCATAAATTTATCATTGGAAACCAGTCCAAGATTTTCTGAAGTTGTACTGTTGTTGAATTGGCATAGACCTTGATCCACTCCGCTAGCTTTGTAATTCACTGACAAGCACGCGTCGAGCCTTGTACAATGCATAGAACACACTCTTTCACTTTCTGCATATTTCGTTGTGATCACACTCTCTGGTAAATACTTTCCAGTTTTTCTTTTAAATGTAGCATGTTTCATAGTAACACCATATCCGATGAAAGCGAAAACTTGAACAAAAGCTAGTATTGTTTTAAATAGAAGCATGTTAAAGTTTGTCCAAATCAATTCCAAAATGACTAGGCGTTCAGTTGAATAGCTGGTGAGCAACGACAGTGCTTTATTAAAACAACTGATAATATACACTAGTTAACGGCTCGTGTATAAGCAGTCAATTTGTTCGCTAAAATGAGCAGCTGCTTAATGCAAATTGCATATTAAAACAACTGATATATACATTATGCATATATCATTAGTTTGTAAATTCTGAACGCTGATTGGCTAAGAGCCGTGTTGACATAACTCAATGTCAACACGGAAAATTTCTTTCTTGTATTTCTTTGTGTTATATTATAAAAAAATATAAAACATTCTTGCGAAATTCAGGCCTTATCTTACCGTAAGCATAATCTTGTATGTGTTCTATATATTAATTAAATTGAGATGCTACAAAATAATATACAGGAATTTCGACAAAACTATTTTTTGATATATTGGCAATTGAGACATCCGTGGAACAGTTTGTACGACATTAGAAATGATCTTTTTCACTTAAAGAACGTGTTAATTTACCAATAACAGTTCCATGTTGAAAACATTTATATGGTATAGTAAAACACAACTGCATGTGTTTAATACATATTTAAGATTTATATCACACAAATGTATTTTGTCGCCCTTCTCTGTACCTTCTCGATATTCTCGATTAATTTGATTGTTTGTGGAGACCTTACTTGAGACGCATACGCAAAGTTGTTGAATGTTGCGGACCAGTTGTAAGTAAAGGTACTTCCTTGCCCCGATGTCCATTCCATTGTAGACCAGTGTAAATCCAAGCATTTTATTAGCTTTAGATCGCATTCTGTTTACTTGATTGATCCACGTTAAGGCCCTGGCACACTATTGCGTATCGTACTAGCGTATGCCAGCGTATGAAAAATATCACTCATACGCCGGTATACGCTGACATACGCTGGGGGTACGTTAGGCATAGATTGTATCCGTTTCAAGCACGGTCGCGTACGGTGGCATACGCTGGCATACGGCGAGGCGGAAAATTTTTTTAAGCATGCTCAAAAATATTGTGCGTATTGGACGTATGTTTTATACGATAAGCATACTCTAGGCACACGCTGAATACGCTAGAGGTACGCCAAATGTACGGTACTCATACGCTGGCATTTCAAAGAATTTTTGTGCGTATGAAAATTATTTCATTAATTTTGCTACGCTTCTCATACGTTTCTCTCATACGCAATAGTGTGACAGGGCCTTTAGGTTGGAATTCATAACGACGCCTAGATCAATTTCAGTGTTAGACAAAGCCAGGTGGAGACTATACGAGGTGATTAGCGGAGATGATGTCCTTGTGATGGAGAGTAGTTTACACTTAGAATTGTACGTTAAAACGCAACCTGTTTTCCTCTGACCAAGATTGGAGACTCTACCTGTAAAACCAAAGCATCAGAAGGGTTCTGCACGGCTTTCAGTGCCTCTTTAACTATATTTCTGGGGGGGGGGGGCAATTACCCCTCCCAGGGAAAGAATTTGCCCCCCCCCCCAGTAAAGCCATTTCTGCCCCTGAAGTGCGAAGCAGAATTGCTCATGATTGCTGTCAGAATTTCAGTTGATTTACTTGATAATGAGATTATGCCCTTCCATAGCCCCTCCACAGCCATCTTGTGTAGTTGTGTATAATTCATATTGTTCTTCGCCGAGTATTTCATAATAGCGATAGATTTCATGCAAACAATCCGATAAAATGCTAGCCTTTCCAAGCCTTGCGACTATTTTCTCCTCCGCAGAGGCGTTGTGTTTTGTTTTGGGAGGTTTTAGGGACCGGTGTCCCAGGATTTTCGCCCCCCCTACATTTTCGCCCCCCCCCAGGGGGGCGAAAATCCTAGGAATTTCGCCCCCCTTTAGGAAATTCGCCCCCCTTTAGAAACTTCACCTTTCCTTTAGGATTTTCGTCCTCCGTTCAAAATTTCGCCCTTCCTAACAGTTGCATGGGATAATTATTACATAGCTTTAATCATTTGAAATCAGTATCAATTCAAAATTGTTAAGACAGAGCTTGAAATAACAACCGATCAATGATCGGCAAGGAATTGCTTATGATCGGCGGAAAAGCAGGGTTTCGGTTTCCAAAAAAGCAGGGAAAGTCACGACTGCCGATCACCATGATCGGAAACTTTGGGAACGTTATTTCAAGCCCTGCATGTAAGAATACAAATTTACAATTACATGTATCGAAAGGGCTTTACACAGTTACAGTAGATCAATACTCAATAGGACTTATGACGCTTCACAGCACACCATGCATATTTTGCAATTTGCATTTTCAGTGTTAATCCTTAAACTCATCGTTAAAAAGTAATCACCGTGGTGGTTATTGTAATTATTGGTATTGTTTTGCATCCACGTTTTGTCGTTATCGGAAAATGTATGGTTTGTCACTATTTTTTACTTGCATTAGTCAATATAGTTTGTAAATCCCAGAAGCGAAGGGTAGAACTTGCCAATAGGCAATAATCCAATAATATACGTTTCAAAAAAGACAAGAAAGCTTTTAGTTTTGCAGAGTTACATTCTCAAATGTTTAAGGCATTCCACTTTAGATGTGTAGAATATGACACTAGTCTAAGTACCTCAAATGAGTGGTTATGCAGACTGTGCACACCACCAGCTGCTAAGAAGACTAAAATGTGTATGTAATTTTGTCTCCTTGTAATAAATAAATAAATCACACAATAAATCTTTTCAACTTGCAATCGTTTTGTTTTTAGATCAAAAATTCAAAATTTATATGGGGGGGCGAAATTCCTAAAGGGGCGCAATTTTACAATTTATAATAGCTTTATTGGCATGACCTTAAATTACAGGTATTGCTAAAGCATAATAATCTAAATATAAATAATCTAAATGCAAATAGTCTAAATATAGTAAAAAGGTAGAAATTCCAAGTTTACAAATAGTAAGAAGTACATGCATTACAATAACTATATAGTCAATCCCAATAACAAATAACAGATAACCAATAAGATCTATTTACAAGATATAGGAAAAATTTTCATTCAACTTTCTAAGATTAGAGAAATAGTATGTTAATAATTAACTGACAGCAATCCCACTTTCAAGGTATCTATTTCTTTCCGTAAAACAGGAAGAAATATATTTCGACAGAGATAAAATAGTCTCGTGCTCTGTAGATTTCATTATATCTACTAATTGTGCCTGATCTATGATAATGGTTAGCTTGTTTCTGAGAGTGGTGTAAAAATTCTCTCTTTGGTTGCTGTAGGCTTTACACGAATTTGCAAAATGGTATTCATCTTCCACTTCCCCTGACTGGCAGATTTCACACAGTCGTTCTTCCCTTGGTATTTTTTGATAGCGACCTAACTCAATCATTAATTTGTGGTTGCTCACTCGAAATTTTGTGAGTGCTTTCCTTTCGGTTGGATTTTTTATTGTTGAAAGATATTTCTCTAGTTGGTATTCTGTTTTGAACGTGTTGTAAAACTTTAGTTTGGAGGAGTTTTCGAGTTTGTGTTTCCAAAAATTAAGATATTTTTGCTTTATGTTGTCATGGATAAAGCTTAGTGTTTGAATTGCGATTGATTCCAGTTCTGTTATTTGTGTGTTGCAGTTATAGGATTTCAAAATATCCATAATATTTCCATAGAACGAGGTAATTCGTTTGGAGTGTAAGTCTTTCGAGATAAGAAAAGCTTGTTTGGCAAGTGCTTCTTCAGGTAGTGAATTTAGATGAATAATGTATTTGAATAGTCGCTTGTAAATATTGATTATCAGTGGAAACTTTCCTAGTTCACCTCTGCAAGCAATATTTGTTGTTTTCTTCCCAACACCCAAGTATAGTTTGCAAAATCTCAAGTGTGTTTTTTCAATCTGAGAGTTATCCCAATTGTTAAAGTCATTTTTGATATAAGCACCCCACACTTCTGAGTTGTATAAAAGAATTGGTGATATTATGGTATCAAATATTTTGATAGCTAGTTTTGGGTTTAAATTGTGTAGATTGAGATGTCTTCTTATACTGTATAGGGCATGAAGTGCCTTTTCACCAAGTTGTTTCATAGCTAATGTGAATTTACCATTTGAGTTAAGCTTAATTCCTAGGTAGCAATATTCTTGTACAATTTCTATGGTATTGCTGTCTAATGTGAAGCTTGGTTTAGTCTTTTTCTTATTTCCTTTTTGAAAAATCATTACTTTTGTTTTCTTTAAGTTAACCTCCATTAGCCATTTACTGCACCAATTTTGGAGTTCATTTAGGCATTTTTGTAGTCCAAATCTTGATCTAGACAGGATGATCAAATCATCAGCATAGAGAAGACAGTTCAATTTTGAGCCATTTGGCAGTATGAAGGGGTCTGAGTCAGTATTATTAAATAATGTTGTTAGCTCGTTTATGTAAAGGTTGAATAAGAGTGGACTTAATGTGCATCCTTGGCGAACACCTTTGGAATAAGGGAAGAATGTTGTTCTGGATTTGGATAATTTGACTGCACATTTAGAGTTAGAATAAAGGCTCTTAATTAGACGATAAAAATTTTTTCCAATTTTGTATTTTAATAGTTTAGAGTATAGGCCTTCATGCCAGACAGAGTCAAATGCTTTTTTGAAGTCAACAAAGCATGCATAAATTTTATTGTTTTTGTTTTGGGTGACATGCTTATCAATTAACGTTTTTAGGGTGAAAACGTGATCGGCTGTTCTATGTCCTGATTGAAATCCAATTTGCGAATGGTGAACTAAATTATTTTCTTGTGTGAAATCATTCAATCGTTTATTTAGAATTAAACAGAAGAATTTGCCAATACAACTTGTCACACATATTCCTCTGTAGTTGTTAGGATCTTGTTTGTCTCCAGATTTAAAAATAGGGGTTAAAAGACCTTCGCACCATTTCTCAGGGAAAATTCCACTCTCTAGAATCATATTAAACAATTTATGATAGCCTTTAA